GGACAATAGAAACACACGCATCAAAGTAGTCAAGCCCATTAAAAGAGATATATATATATATATATATAATAAGAGGTAGCATTCAGTTAGATAATATAAAATTATTTTTTTTCTCAATAATTTAAGATCATTAGATGAATGAAAATAAACGATCATTGAAAGAGACTCAAGTATTAATACGTAGAACTTTCAAATAGATTTTCATCGATTCTGAATGAGTTTTATGAAAAATCTGTAACACCCCAATTTATGGGCTAAATTTTAAGAAATTATTCAAAGTTGGCTTACCATTTTAAGAAGTACAGGAAGTTCAGTGACTAAACTCATAATTTAGCCATTTTTCTTTATGAGAAAATTGATAACCCCTCCCTTATGTTTTTTTCTGCAGATTTCCGGTTTTCCCTTCCCCAACAACCCAACTTCCAACTCCGATCTACTCGTCGTCCGACCTTCGATCGACGAGCCGAAACCACCATCGTGTTCGTTGTCGAGCGAGGAACAAAACCCCTCAAACCTTTCGGCGTGAATGGTCGCCGTTCTTCATGAATTTCAGTCGGAAGTATCGTCGGTAATAACTCAGTTTTAGTTGGGTTTTCATCGATTCACGATGATCGAGTCATCTGTTTACGACACCTCCCGCACCATCGTGTTCGTTGCATCGTTCCGAGTTCGCTGGTGTCATCCTTGGTCTCCGTAGACGGCGGCGCGTGAGGAGGTGAAGCGGTCTAAGTTTCCGATTTGTTGAAATCGAGCTCTCCGCTGTTCAAAATTGTGAACCGAACTTTGTAAGTATCTTGAAATCGCTCAAAATAATTTTTAAAAATTTTTCCGTGATTTTTAGGCAGCCGGAAGGGGCCCCACGCGTCGCCACTGCGCGTGGGGATGGTCCAAATGACCGATTTTGGTGCATAGTTGACCGATCATAACTCGACCCGACCCGACCCGTTGACCGGCGTTGACTGGCTTTGACCGGACATTAAACGACCTTTGACTTCGACCGAGTATACCTATCCTGACATTTTTCAACGTTCCAAATCCGATTCCACTGTCCTTTTTTCGAAATTTGAACCCAAAGGCCTCGAAATTGCCGGTCAAACCCGTTGACTTTGATTTTGACCAAAATTCCAAATTTCCGAAAAGTCATATTTTATGCTTTCGAAGTCCTGAATTCGAATCCGAAGTCCGTTTCGCCAAATTCTAACCCGGTAAGCCGTCTTTCACTGATTTATCACCCGATTCGATCCGTTATCGCAATTAAGCTCCGTTTCTGATATAATTTATGTTGTTATGTATCTGAGGAATTATTGGAAGTTGAATTGAAGATCAAAGGCGTTCGAATGGAATTTTTATGGTCGATCAATATTGCACGGAAATCGAGGTAATACTTTACTACCTTTTTATGCTTTATGGAACATGTTGATATTGGTAAATGCATGAGATAATGTTGGTCACTTTTGTGGAGTTGAATAATTTATTCACTCGATATGAATGTGGTAGAAATTCTGTAACTGAATACGGATCGAATGACTAATATAAGAGATTGAAAGATTGTTATAATTAAATTACAAGTTTGTGAATAGTGATAAAGAAATCAGACATGGATTTGTAAATTATATTATTTTCGTTAAGAGCTAATATCGAAATTATCTGGTTAAGAAATTACGGAAATGCCCTTAAGAGGTAGAATAGTCTGAGTTAACCCTGAATGAGAAAATACTTAGAGGATTCGTACTTAACTCGATTAAGTACGTATTTGATTGTTAAAATCCTGACTTAGTGCAGGAAAATTACTGATATTTCGTTTGTAATATCTGAGAAGGCACTTGACCCGGAAATATCCGAGTTATGAGTAAATACCTAAAGAACAATTTGTCGGGGGTGTTCTGTTGTCAGAATTGATCGAAATGACTGAAATAAATGATAAGATTGAATTTAATAGTAAGATCAGACAGAAGGAAATGATTAAAGTACACTGAATCTGTACAATGACCAAAATACCCCTGTAATGGAAATGACCCAAGAATATCACCAAGCTCAGGAATGATTTGATATCCTCGAGCTCTGAAATGAATGGAATAAAACTGAATACCAAAATTACCAAAATAACCTTATGGTCTAAACTAAGTAAATGTCTTGGATTAATCAAGGAATCCAAATAAGCATAGGTATTGGACTACCTTTAAAAGTTATGGAACATAACTTAAATGAGCCAATCAACCTTAATAATATGTCAGTACCTGAATGACATAGATATTACTTGAATGCATGTTCGTCTACTCAAGTTTAGCTCAATGATAATTTTGGAAGTATTCAGCTCAACTCTAGATTGCATTCGGTACTAAGAATTGGATATTTGTTCGACAAATCAACCACGAAGACCAAACTGAACTGAACGGAAGTACAATATGTATCTGAAATTCAGAAACGTCCGGAATTACTCTGGAAAATCCCGAAGTATCTGAAATGGACTTGACTACTAATTGAATTAAGTAACCTCAAGGACTAAGGATTAAGTAAGTGGTTTGGATGAGTCTGGAAACGTTAATGAACATACATGATGTAATGTTCTTATGTGTCATGAACTACAAATCAAACACGTCAGTAGTTCATAATATTGTGAAAGCGTGAACATGAAATTGAGAGCATTGGAATATCTGTTAGTCTCCTTAAGATCTGTTCAGTGATGACTCAGAAGATGATCTATGGATAATAATATTTGATATTAAAGAGTAAATACCCTGGAAAGTTAATGAATTGACAAGTTGATAAGTATTAGTTTTTGGGGCTATTTATCTAGAGTTGTTTGATAATCCGATCAATCGATATAAATTGTAGATGTCCGAAACCTTCAATTCTTCCTTACCAGTTCAAGTCATATTCTGAATAATTGATGATTTTGTCAGTTATTGAACTCTTCCAATAGTGATTCTGAATTCTGATATTCTATCGGTATACTGAAGATCTGTGTTCCTCTACCTGCTAAGATTATCCAGTACCTCTGAATAATTTCTGTAAACTCTGGTGTGTTCCCTAATCACCTGGATATTTTACCTGATTTCCGATTTGATTTCTATTATAATACCTGACCTGGATTCTGATTGAATACTTGACCTGGATTTTGATCTGATACTTGACCTGAATTATTTTATGATTTTTGATATATCCGTTTACGGACGGAACATGTTTTACTTGGGGGGTAATGTTGGAGGAAGTATACCTGGAGGCTCCTCGGCTGTGTGCTCAGGGCCTTATTTACCGGTTCCTCGGCTGTGTGCTCAGGGCCTACTGGACTTGATGGTGGGTGTATGGTTCTGGGGAACCTACACAATTTGGACTTGTTGGATGGGGGTATATATATATATGTTTTAAAAGATCTGTATCTTTTTACTGGTTTTATGGGAACACACTAGAAAACCTGTTCTGATCTCCTGAACCTAGACATTCGAAATATCCATCTGAAATGAATACTATTTGTTCTACATGCGATATCAATGGACCTCAGCTCAACATAAAGATCTGTAAATATCTGAACCAATAAGGAAAATATGTTTATCTATATCTGCACGTTTTTCAGCATCATCTGGTAGTTCTGTATTACTGAGCTTTTCGAAGCTCACTCTATTACTCACCTTTTCAGGTTAAAAGAATTATATCAGTGCATCTATCGACTTCAGTAAGGGAGTTCTTCCGGCGTTGTTGCAGAGTATGGTACATGTGATTAGGGGGCATGTAATTGTATTTTGATTTATATATGAGTCTGAAAATCTGTTTTATTTTTAAATAGCGACAACTGATTTTATTAGTTTACATGTGCTGATAAAAAGTTTTAAATTTTCCGCTATTTTTACAGTGGGTCGCTCCGATGGCCCAAATGTGACACCCCAGATCGGATCTGGTTACCCGTATCGGTCTGTGGGGGTTACAAAATTAATACTAGGAGAAGAAAGAATAGTGAAATACAAACATTTTAATATCGATCTTACTGTAAAAAACGATCAGTGACAGACGGTGATTGATTACCAACGATTATCGAGAAGTATAATGATAAAAAGATAAATTATTTAAAAATTGACAGAAAAAATCAATATATTCCTAAAACTTAATGTCTAAAAGGATATTGTTTTAAACATTAATAATCATTACCAAAATGACAATATTTTAGTGTACTAAACCACATCAACAATCGATAACCATATAATTATTCAATGATATATATGGGTGTAAATTAAACGAGACAGATCGCGAGTTACTCGAGATTGACTCGATCAAGGCTCGATAAATACTAGGATCGAATGGACTCGACTCGAGCTCGACTCGAGTTCTTAACGAGCCGAAACGAGCTACTTGATATTCGACTCGAAAAACTCGCGAGCAGCTCGAAAATATAATATATTAAGATTTTATTTTTTTTAAAAATAAATTATCAATAATATTAATATTTATGTATTGATTTTTTTTAAAAATATATATTAAGATTTTCATGTATTTAAGGTTCATGTTCGAGTTCGAGTGTGAGGCTTCAATCGAGTTAAATTTAATAATTTTTTTCTCATTTCGAGCTGCTATCGAGCTTCAGTTCAGGATTTCGAGTTCGAGTCGAACTTGAAAATTTCAAGCTCACGAATTTTCGAGTCAAGTTGAATTTCATTTTAGAATTTTCGAGTCGAGTGGAGCTCAACAATACTCAAGCTCGACTCGTTTATACCCAATGATATAAACGAATCAACATATAATATTCCGTGATAACTAGTGTAATTTATTCCAAATTCATCTAGATGAATAATATTATTATTTTGTTTTGTTTTTTGGAAAAGCTAAGTTTCTAGGCAATTTACAAGAAAATAAGGGCCAGCTTATAGGTTTTGGTGAATTGAATGCAACCAGGAAAGGAAATTTCACTTCACTTGTTACCCTTCTTCATCTCTTTCATTTTATATTTTATTTTAAAATTTCTTTTTCAATTCTAAGTTATGGTTTTGATACGACACTCCCCAAATTCCAATCCTTTAGCCTTAATCAATGACTTTATCATAAAAAAAGATCATAGATTTGAAGCAATCCCCTTTTTTTCCCTCGTATTCTTTTTGTTATAATTACCCCTTTTTGCTTGCATAATCTCCCCAACCAATACAAAGTCTGGTTCTTTCTTTTTCACCCTTCTAAAAATAGTATCAAAGGTATGAACTTTGGTGTTTGGCCAATCTGTTTCCTCTTTTTTTAGTAATATTGGATAAACACATTGATTATCTTAGGTATTTTTTCTTTTTTTTTTCTGGGTTTTGAGATTTGGGTTGTTTTGTTGTTTCTTTTCTCTTGTCTGGTTACACTTTTGATTTCCTGCATTGTGATGATTTAGATTGAAATCTGGGTTTTCATTTTTATCTTATAGCTTATTTTATATGATAGATCCATGAAATTTGAGTTATTTTGATTTGATCCCTTATCTCTCCTTGTCTATTTACCAGGCTGAATATTGTATTGGAGGCATTGGTTCTCCATGGTGAGCCATTAAAATCATCATACGTATACATACATACACACACATACATACATACATATATGTATGTATACATGTATGGTGATTTGATTTGGGTTTTGTGGTTATGTTATGATCATTGTAGGGAGAAGCCCCAGCATTGTTTGTTGAGGATCTAAAGGAAGGATTTTCAAATGGATTTGGTTTAAGATCCAAAGGCTTCAAGACATGTACTGATGTTGGGGACAAGACAGTAAGATGTTTTAATGGCTAAATTTGGTGTTTTTGTCCTCATAAAGTGCTTTATGATTTGCGTGTCTTTATTGTGTTTGTTGATATGTTTCAATCATCTCTTTTCTGATTGAGGATTGGTGTTGGATTTCTCTTTGGCAGTTTGTGATTGGTTGCAATGGCAATGATTCTGCATCATCCCTTGAGGTTCAGATCTATGACAAATCTAGAGGGGAATGGTTAGTTGATGCCGGGAACCTTTTTTTACAGCTTCGGCCGTCGATTTTTACAGTCGATATTTACCGCAATCGCAATTTGACTCGTTGAGCTTGTTTTTCCGAGTGTTGGTTTAGTGTTTTGAGTTAAAATGTTTGTGGTGATATTTTAAGGGTGATTCCTGCTGTTCTGGGAACGAAACCGAAGCCATATGAAGGCCATTCAGCCGTTCTTTTGAATGAGGATCAAATAATGATTATCATAAAGGGTTCCAACCCCGATGACTGCATTTGGTTTCTCGAGGTTGGTATTTCGAAAAGCTTAAGATCGTTCTAAGTTAGCTGTGGTCGGAATAGTTCATTTCTCTTTTGATGCCTGAAAGTGCTTGATCTGATTGAAATATCTTTAGGTGGACACTGAATATGTTGGGCAGCAGAGAGGAGCGTCGGGGACTGAAGTCGTTGCCTGGAGTAAGGGCGTGAGAGGTGATGCTGAGAAGCCGGTTGTTATCAGCGGTCCTTCCGGAGTTGGCAAGGGGACATTAATCAATATGCTTATGAAGGAATTTCCATCCATGTTTGGATTCTCTGTCAGCCATACAACCCGTGCACCCAGGGGGACGGAGAAGAATGGAGTTCACTACCATTTTACCGAGCGAAGTATAATGGAGAAAGATATCAAAGATGGTAAATTCCTTGAGTTTGCTTCTGTTCATGGAAATCTCTATGGAACCAGTATCGAAGAAGTAGAGGCAGTAGCGGACTCGGGAAAGGTAAACGTCATGCATTTTACTGTTCTATCAATCGTGATTATATAATGCTCTGAGAGTTGAACATCGAAAAATTGCTATTCTGGACTATCGAATCAATTCCGAACATTGCACTTCTTTGTGAATGTAGCATTTTCTGCTTCCAAATGATCTCTTTGCCACATTATAGTTTTTCAGTTTTTTGTCTCGGTTTAAATCTAGAGGTGCATTCTTGACATCGATGTTCAAGGAGCAAAGTTGGTACGGGCCAGTTCTCTCGATGCCGTTTTCATCTTTATCAGTCCACCCTCGATGAGAGAACTTGAAGAGCGGCTCCGCTTAAGGTGAATCCGAACCGTCCATTCGATGTTTTGTACCATTATGCTATTTTCCAAGCTTTTTTAAATGTAGAAATGTTGTCAACAGGGGGACTGAAACAGAGGAGCAAGTCCAAAAGCGCCTCCGCAACGCCGAGGCAGAAATCGAGCAAGGGAAATCCTCAGGCATCTTCGATCATATATTATGTAACGATAATCTTGAGAAGTGTTACGAGAATCTTAAGGTGACTTCTGTTCCCCTTGAACTATCACATTCATCTTAAAATTCTGTCGTAATTCGTTTCCGAGCGGATCAGTTTGTTCGTATAACCCGATCTGATGAGTTTGATTTCTGTTATAGAAACTGCTCGGACTGGACGGAAGTGTACCAACCAACACTAAACCATGTAAGATTGTGACTACTATTTTCCCAATTTTCCTTCAATGCATATGCACTAACAATTTATATCAAACTCAAATGCAGCACCCGAAGGGATCGATCTGCCTCCGAACTATTCGGTGTCAAAGATCGATAATAAGATCCTTATTAAGCGTGAGGCTCCGGAATCGGGAAATGCAACAAAGAACTCGTAAGTTCGTAGTATTAAGATCTCACAACTTACTTGGGGTTCTTAACTGAGAATTTGCAGTTGTTTATCTAGGATCGTTCTTGATATATCCTCGCTTAAAGGCGGTGCACCTGGTCGGACCAGAGGACTGAACGTTTATGCCATTGACTCGTGTTCGGATCGCATAAACGGGCTTCATAAACCGAGCTAACGACTGCAACACCATACGATGCCTAGCTGCTGGTGTTTTAAAGATCATTTGCATGCGATTTCATCCCCCTTCTTTCCCTACTCAATTATTTTGGCTTGTTTAACAACGAAGAAGGTAACATTTTAGTGTTCCCACAAGGCCAATACGAGAGAATTTGTCATTCGTGCAGCAATCAAATGCGATTCTATTACAACCAGAACAAAGATTATTCAAAGTGCAACGAAGATTAATAAATTATTAATAAATTTGAGTAGTTAAAATTATTTTATATTTTTAATAGTTAGTATATTAATTATTTTATAATTTTATGAGATGAAAATATTATTATTGTAAAAATGTAATTATTTAAAATAATATTTAATTCTGAGTTATTAGAAAATAAAACTTATACATTAAAAACTAATATATTTGTCCACTCGAGATCACGATATTATATTTTATATTATATTATATTTTATATAAATAAATATGACACTTATGAAAATTATTTAAAATTATAAGTTTGATATACTAAAATGTATTAATTATATGTTAAATGTATTTTTTTTAAACTTAGATGGTGTAATAAATAAAATATTATTATAAATTTTTATTCAAATATTTATAACTTAATATTAAAGTTTTAATTGTTAAAAAATATATATCACAATGATAAATTGGTAAAATATGCATCCAAGTAATCTTATATTTATCTAACCAAACACTGTAATATTACATTCCCGCTAAGCAAACTAAGCATGATAATATAATATTTCCAAAATAACGTTACATTCTGATAATTTTATTCTAAAAAATAATCTTACATTCTGTGAATTAAACGCATCCTTAGAGTTTTATGGCCAAAATTGAATGAGAAAATCAACTAGAAGATCGAATTTTCGATTGAAGGTACCAAGATGGAAATAGCTGGCAATTGGCATATGCTTTGTAGGCCCCGTGATGGAGACTTAATAAGGCAATAAATTTCCATGGCAGAAGTTGGCGCTAGGCACGTTCCTGGAATATCTAAGATTTTAGGGAATTACACAAATGGTCATCTGAGGATAGTGTTGACTTTTGTCAACACAGTTTTCAATATGCTAAGTATGATTTTTGTCATGCTTAGCTAAATTTTTCATAAGCCGAGAGCTGACGCGATGACTCAATTCCAACGGGAGAATTGAAACAGGCCCTTAATATCTTCAGAATATCTCTTTTAATCTCTGCACTTATTTTTCAAAATCAAAACAGTTTTCAAAATCAAAGATTGACTTTGGTCAAGAGGTTGTTGCGATTAAATGTGTGGGAGGAAGATTCAGCTTATAGAAAGCAATTCGACTTCCTGTGAACACACTTGGCGAGATGGCTTCGTTGAAAGGGAATTGAGATCGGAATTGACGGTTATTGAAGCAACAATCCGAGTCGGTCGCCACGAACTTAAACGGTATTAATCTACGACAATTGATGTTGTTAGAATTAATTACCGAAGCCGGAATCAAAGACTGCCTTGGGTATTCGGTATACAAGATAGAGTCACAGGGATTGCCCTAGTAGACAAAGTAACCGACGTGAATTCCGGAGAGAAAATCTTATTCAATGGTTTAAAGGAAATTGAGTCAAAGCAAGGTTTGAGGCTATTTTTACAGTATTCATTCACAATCTTTATTCTCTTATTTTTACTTTAATTGCTTTTATTTATTTAATCGTTTTTATTAATATTTAAATCTCATATTACAAACCCCCCATTTTACTATTTTTCGCCTGGTTAAAACCATTCAAACATAAATTTGAGATTTTCTAAGTCCCTAAGGATTCGACCCTTATTTCTCTGTACTATGTATTTCCTTATTTATTAATTGAGAAAAAAGAATTTATTTTGACATCGAAAACGATAGTTGTCAGTGGGGAGCTATCGTCATCAGATATTCTAGTGTAGCAAAGCAGATTTCCAGAGACCTTTCAGAGTACGTCTTGAATAATCTTTAGAGGGCATGTACTGTTATGGATCTTGTTATGTATTCAGTCATAACTCTTTTGAAACTCTGTATTTTTTATTTTTTAGCGGATGTATTTTGGGAGCTCCCTATTATTTGTAAACTCGTATTATTATTATGTTTTTATATTACTTTATTAATGTCTAAATTTCAGAGATTTACAAGCAGTTTTAAAAGAAAAATTTTGGGTCACTATTTCGATAGTCCCATATAACATTGTAATCCATGGATTTCCGGGTCTAACTAGACTAGGGTGTTACATTATAGATCATTTCCTAACACACTTATTATTAGGAATGACTTCTTCAAAGCCTTTGAGACCATTTACAATAACCGAATATCGATCGGTCATGCTTTTAATATCCTTATCTGGTCTCATCTTGAATTTTTCATAATTGTGATTGAGAAGACTAATCTTAGTTTCTCTTCCCTCATTAGTTCTTTCATGAGTAACTTCAAGTTTGTCCCAAATCTCTTTGTCATTGGAACAAGATGAACTCTCACATATTCATTGGGGCCAACTACACAAAATAGAATGTGCATTGCCTTTACATTGAGTTGGAACAATCTCCTCTCTTCTTCTTCACTCTATTCCATTATCGATCTTGTTGGAGTAGAATGCCCACTCAAAATTATGCTCCAAGCTCCCAAATCACTAGCTTGGATGAAGATCATATCATATTCTTCTAATAGGCATAGTTGGCTCCATTGAAGAAATGAGACTTGTTGATAGGTTGGGAATCATTGATGTCGTCGAAGCTTGGTGTAGAGGCCATGTATGACTTGAATAATGATTTGAATCTTTTAAGATCTCCTCAAGAAGTGGTAAAACCTTCCAATGAGTCTAGCACTGATGCCAATTGTTGAGTCAATTTAATCAATGGAATGGCCAAGAGGGGTGAATTGACAATTAGAAAAATGATGGAAGTTTTTTGCAAGAAAATAAAAAATTGGCACAAGCAATTTTAGAGTGGTTCAACTTCTTCAATGAAGTCTACGTCCACTACCTTAGCTTCCACACTAAGGATTTCAACAAATCTACTAATTTGTTCTAACCTTTTAGGACAAGGTGTAACCTTACAACACACTTAGACTTATACCCCAAAGTCTCAAGTGTACAACCCTTCCTAAGAAGAAATTACAAAGAAGCAAACTTTCGAATATCCTCACAAGATAGAATATTTGCAAATTGAAGCTCTCACACACCCAAGAAAACTATAATGAAAATTACAAAGAATGGAATAGTGTTCTATGTAAGAAAGACAAAATTGATTACAAATTTGACTTTAAATGCTCTTTGATTGTTAGAATAGCTTTCTTGTCTTTTCTTGGTTGTTTGAAGACCCCTTTTATATGTCCTCATTGATTTCTAGCCTTTTGGGGTTATTGGAAGGAGTTTGGAGTCGTTTGGAACAATAAATTCGCGCATTGAATACAATCCTACACAAAGGTTTCGAAACCTGTAAGAGGAGTTTCGAAACTTGCCTTAAATTTTTTTTGATTGTTGCAGCAAGGGTTTCAAAACCTTTATGGTATTTTTGGCTACTGCCTTAGGGGTTTCGAAACCTTCAAGAGGGGGTTTCGAAACCAGACCCAAAAACTGCTTAAAATAGTCTTGTTTCATATTTTAAAAAAGTATTTTAAAACCTTTATAAAATTCATGAACACTTTAAATTTGTTTTTGACATTTGAACATTAAAACTTATTTTTACAAACTTAAAATTCTTGAATCGAATAAATATTAACTTTACAAAATTTTCAATTTAGTCCTTTGTTATATCAAAATCATTTAATTACATTTATCATCATACCTTTAGTTTTTTGTTTTTTAGTATTCATGTTCAAATTAACATCAATATTGAATTGAAAGTTAGGTACTAACGGACCAAAACTGATAGTTTAGGTACTAAACGTGTTAAACGGTTGGGTACTAAATGAAACGAAAACTAAACATTAGGTATGATTTTAAAAAATTGAAAATTTAGGTACTAAATGGATCAAAATTGATAGTTTAGGTACTAAATACTTAGTTTACCTAAAATTGATGTACAATTAATTATGAGTTAATTGTATATGGTTGCAAAATTAATTATGAGTTAATTGTATCATACATTTTCAAATTATATTTTTTTTAAATTGGTCATTAAATTTTTGAACGTTTTGATTTTATCCTTAAATTATGAATTTTATTTTAAATTAATCTTAAAAAATTTGAATTAATTCCATCCCCAATGTATGACTCTTATTCTAAATTAGTCCCCAAAATTTTAAGGAGTTTAGTTTCATCCCAAACTATCAGTATAGCTAATCACATCCCATGTTAATATAATCACTAGGTCAAGCTATATTATTATATGTTTGATAAAAATAAAATTTAGGTTAAACTATGGCTGAAACTAAATACATATTTGGATGAATTTGGGGTTGAAATTGGAAGATTCAAAAAGTTTGGCGATGAATTTAGAATGAGGGTCATAGTTAAGGGTTGAAATTGAAATATTTAAAAATTTGAAGACCAATTTAATACGAGATTCATAATTTAAGAATGAATTGAAATATTCAAAATTTTAAAGATTAATCATTTTAGTACTATAATCTTATCTTATGATAATATCTATTTTTTTTCAGTTGAGATAAAACTTCCCATAATACTTATCTTATTTATAGTACGGATGAAACTCAACACACACTTTATAAATTAAATTATTCTAACTCAATAATTTAACATAATATAACATATTTTGACATTAAAAACACTCTATAGATTCAATTTATGGCATGAATTTAAATCGAATTAAACCAATTTTTTAACAGAAAATCACTAATTTTATTAAAAACAGAAAATATATAGAATTACAATTAAGATTTATAAGTATACCGTAAAAAAATTATAATTAGGATATTTTCCTATAACCATTGACACAAAAACTAGCCACCTAGATCACATAAGTACCAAATAAGAAAAAGGTTAAAAAAACCTAATAAAAAAACTCGAACAAAATAAAAATACGAATAAATCTGACTACATCGGCAAACGAACAGAAAAAGGGGATGAATCTACTGAAGGCTACCGACAAATCACAAATCAGAGTAAAGCAACGTGAAAAAACTATCTACGAATGCAAAACGCATATCCAAATCAATCCGAGAGTGCAAAGTAGGGAAGATCGTCATGATAACAAATAAGAGTCATCTTGATCAGTCATGGCAATATCAAATTCAACATTGAGATAAAAAGATAAATGAAAACATCGACAAAAAACCGTAAGATACCCTAACGAGAGACTTTCATATTCTCTTCCATTCAAGCGTAAATTTCTTACATGTAAACCCCATCCCGGTCCGGACGAAAATTCTTATTCGAACTTTAAAGATAAACATTAAAAGAAACATTCACGGATTTTAAATACGAACTTAAAATCTGAACATAAATCTAAACATTAGGTTTCTCCTCTTCATCTTTATTCTTAACCTCGAGGTCGTCTAATTTTTGTTGTCGATGTGCCATGTCATAAGTTGCATGCAGACCAATAAAAATGTAGTAAACCATCATTGCCATTGTACAAATCCCAAACCTTATAAAAGCTTGAGGTGCCAAAGACCCCATCAAGAAGATATTTACCGCAATCGACAACGACGGAAGCCACGGAACCAACGGCACCCCCCAAACTTTCGGTGTCCTCTGTTGTTGCACGAATACCGCTATTCCGATCGTCCCCGCGAACCATAGGGGTATCGTTATGACGTACCCGACCCATCCATTCGGCCTTAGTCCCCAGTAAGCCGAAGTTCCCATCGAGGAAGCGATGATAATCAACAAGCATATTATAAGCTTCATGAGGTTCATTCTCGGCGTGACTTCCCTCACGTAGTATCTCCTCACAAGTAGTGCTACGGCCATCATCATGAATATGAATAGAGTGCTCACGGATAGCAAGCTCGCCAATTCATCGAGGCTCGAAAATAACGCGATGAGACCGCTCAGAATGGTTGTCAAAAGCGTTGCGTTTATCGGTGTTCCGGTCTTCGGGTGGACTAGTGCGAACCAGGGTGGGATCATGTGTGCTCGTGCGATATGAGTAGTGTATCGTGCTTGCCCGAGTGCACCTACTAGGAGGACAGTGGTCATACCCTTAAGAGCACCGAGAGCGACTAGATACTTGCCCCATTTCATTCCGACACTCTGGAACGCCATCGAATAGGCCGCGTTCGGGTCTATCTCGGTGTACCTCTGCATCATAGTTAGGGAAAGTGCCATCAAGCAGTATACGACCGTGATGATCGACATCGATCCCAGTAATCCTAATGGTATGTCTCTTGACGGATTCTTTGTTTCTTCAGCCATGGTAGCGATGCTATCAAATCCACCGTAAGCGAAGTAAACGACCGCGGCTGCTTGGAAGACCCCTCTGGCTCCATTTGGTAAAAAAGGCTTCAAATTTGACGGATCGGCATGAAAAAACCCGGCAATCAGCACAAACACGATCACTAAACCATTCAATGCCGTTGCTATCCAATTCAATTGTGAAGTTCTCTTTGTGCTGATCATTGCAATGGTTGAAGCAATGGCCAAAACTGCAACTGCAATAGGGTCCAAGAGAAAATTCATCGTATCGATACGAAGCGAGTTCGGTTGACGATTTATGAGAGTGGCGAAGTAAGAAGTCCATGCTCTCGCGACCGCGGCGCCTCCGACGATGCCTTCGAGAAGTATGTTCCCGGCTGCGATAAACGCCGCAAAGTCTCCTAATTCGATTCGTAAATAAGCAAACGATCCGCCTGCAACCGGGATCTCTACCGAGAACTCTGTATAGCAGAACACGGAAAGCATTGCCGAAATTCCCGAAGCCACATAGGACAAGACGATGGCCGGTCCTGCATGACGATGAGCCTCTTGACCGGTTAACACAAAGATGCCCGCGCCTATGACCGCACCGAACCCGAACCATGTGAGATCCCACCAGGTGAGACAACGTTTCATGTCGTTCTCGCTTTGTTTACGAAGCTCGTTGATCTCGTTCGCATCGTCCGAGCGACTCACGAGGCGGTCCTTGAACCGGGAACACGTCTGCGACAGCGCGGACACATAGGTGCTCCGATTTCGGAACGATTCTTCGGGCAAGAAATCATCTTTGCTCCATCTCCAGTAGGCTCTTGGTTGAACATCATCCTCAGCTTCTTGTCCAGTGTGACTCATCTTTTGCCTCACACAGGATTTTTGGATTTGTGGTCTGAAAGTTTAGATATTATTACCGATAATACGATGCGGTTGAATTGTCTTTGGTTTGAATTCGGAGCCATGTGCGATTATTGTCTTTGCTTAACACAGTGATTGCGAAAATTGAAGGTTGAATATTAAGACAAGCAGGAAGACTTTACATTCAGATTGTCACCACAACTTGCTTCACTAGTACTTATCATTGTCTTGTCTACATTATCTGTGGGGACACCACCGTAGAAAATATCATAAAATTATTCAATTATTTAAATAGAATATAATTTAAATCCTTTTAATTTAAATAATGTGTTGGTGGATAATGGAATGAAAGAATGAAAAAGGAAACCGTTTTCCAAGAAGAAGAAGAAGAAGAAGGAAGAAGAAGACCTGGGGGTGTTGTTTTAATGGAGTTAACGTGTCACGTCAGCAAAAACGGACTAGAGGTAACTGTAGGGACCATTTTAAAACGAACTAAAAGTTCAATGATTGTATTGTAAGTTTCAAAAGTTGGGTGACCAAAATACAAGCGTCTTAAAAGTTTGGGGACTATTTATATACTTTACCCTAATTATTTATAAGGACTTAAGAGAGAGTATAATGAACTTGTGTAACAAATTTAGATTTATAAAAGCTTTTGGGTTTGTTTTAGTGGTTTGATTCTCTTAACTTGTATTTTTGGTTTTTTTTTCCTTCAATAAATAATGTGATATAGCATGCCCTTTTTTATTAGATGGTATTAATATATTAAATAAAAATAAAACTATAAAATCATGTTGAATTAAGTTATAAAATAAAATATAAATAGAGTTCAATTTTAGATTAAATAATTTTTAGAACTAAAATGAACAAAAATAAAACTTGAATTACTTAATACGTCATTTACTCATTTCATTAAAGTTAATTGCTCAGAATGATGCACTCTGATTGATAGAATTATAATATCGGTTTACTCCATACGCAATCACCACAATTCGAACTTTTGACCTTACTTAATGATCTAGTGTCTCATCCCACTAGACCGACTGATTATTGATAGATTTAAAATATAATCATACAAAAAAATAATTAAAAATTTAATAAAATATTTGAAGAAAAATAAAAATACAGTCAAATGTTAGTGTCGGTGTTAAAGAAACATCAATAATACTAATAGAAAAATAATAATAAATAACAACTAACTTTGTCACAACTCAAACATGACATATTTGAAATGAATGCAAACATCTATCAAGATGAAAGGATCAACCTAAAGAATATGTACATCCGCCCCTGGGTAAATGATGCCTATAAACAATATTTGGCAAAAGGCATAAGAGGTCTCTATACTTTTAAGGGTAAAGTATAGTAATGGTCACTGAATATTTCTAAAGCTTGCATTTAGGTCCCCTAACTTTTAAAACTTGCAATACAGTCCCCAAACATTTAATCCGTTTGCAATATGGTCCCCGCACCTATGAAAATTAGGGTAAATCATATAAATGGTCATTGAACTTTTTAGGCACTTGAATTTAGGTCCCCCAACTTTTAAAACTTACAAAACATTCCTCAATTTCATTATAAATCCCAAATTTCAAAGTAATTCAATTTCATTCTAAACCCTAAATTCCAAAATAATTCAATTACATTCTAAACCCTAAATTCTAAAATACTTCAATTTAAGGAGAAATATAATAGATTATCTTTAAGAACGTGATAGCGTTTTTATTTTTTTACTTTTGTGTAGAAATTATAAGATAGTATTTATTCAAAAAAATTAATTTATTAACAATATAGATATACCCTACAAACACAATTGTTTGAATTTAAAACTTTTAAAGAAATAACATTTTTTTACTTATATTAGAAATTAAAAAAATAGATCATGCTAGAACTAAAAGAATACGTGACCATGAAATAGAAAGTTTACGTATGTTACGAAAACATGGCACAAACCCATCTCTTTTGAGTTGATTGTTATCATCATTAGGGTATATTATATTAAATTATTAATTTTTTATTTTATTTTTGAAGTAGTCAACTTCAGTGTTTATTTTTTATTGTGTTTTTTATGATTTATTAAATAATTTTTCTACAAAAAACATCCGAGTAATAAGTAAATAATATTTAATTATCATGGTAATATTTATATTTTAATTATATAGAAATAGTATAAAAATAAAAAATATTTATACATCATTACTATAATTAACATAACTCGTATATAAATTTTGACTATGTTATTTATGTAGTCTTAATATTTATGTGAAAGATATAAAATATAACACGTATGATTAGATATAAAAACATACACAAATAATCAGAAATATATTATTTTAAATAAATGAATTATTATCATATTCTTACTATTGAAAAAATTTTCATGTCTTTAAATTAATAATAAAAAATTATCATGTTTTTAAATATAAAAGTAATTAATTAATAATTTAGGACATTGGCGTCGTTTAAAAAGACAGAAATTGAAGTATTTAGAATTTGGGTTTTAGAATGTAATTGAATTATTTTGGAATTTAGGGTTTAGAATGAAATTGAATTACTTTGGAATTTGTGGTTTAGAATGAAAATGAGAATTGTTTTGTAATTTTTAAAAGTTGGGGGACCTAAATTTAAGTGCTTGAAAAGTTTAGTGACCATTTATATAATTTACCCTAATATTCATAGGTGCTGGGACCATATTGCAAACAGATTAAATGTTTGGGGACTGTATTGAAAGTTTTAAAAGTTGAGGGACCTAAATGCAAGTTTCGGAAATGTTCAGTGACTATTACTATACTTTACCCTACTTTTAAAAAGAATCAATGTGACCCTCATATTATTTTTTTCTCTCTATTTGACCCTTCAATTCAGAAAACAAATCCAATTGACCCTTTGACCAAAGTTTTTTGTCATTGACTGTTACAGTTGTGGCATGTCAGTCCACGGTACTGATGTGACAATTCATCTGCCATGTTTAAGTTACAAATTTAGCCAATTAACCATGTCATTTGTCATGTTAATATGTCACCCTAGACCGTCATGTCAGCACAGAGAACTGTCACATCAGTTTTGTAACGATCAACGATGAAAAAACGTTAATCAAAGAGTTAAAGATTATTTAAAATATAATCATACAAAGAAATAATTAAAAATTTAATAAAATATTTGAAGAAAAATAAAAATATAGTCAAATGTTAGTGTCGGTGTTAAAGATAAACATCAATAATACTAATAGAAAAATAATAATAAATAACAACTAACTTTGTCACAACTCAAACATGACATATTTGAAATGAATGCAAACATCTATCAAGATGAAAGGATCAACCTAAAGAATATGTACATCCGCCCCTGGGTAAATGATGCCTATAAACAATATTTGGCAAAAGGCATAAGAGGTCCCTATACTTTTAAAAAGAATCAATGTGACCCTCATATTATTTTTTTCTCTCTATTTGACCCTTAAATTCAGAAAACAAATCCAATGTGATCCTTTGACCAAAGTTTTTTGTCATTGACTGTTACAGTTGTGGCATGTCAGTCCACAGTACTGATGTGACAATTCATCTGCCATGTTTAAGTTACAAATTTAGCCAATTAACCATGTCATTTGTCATGTTAATATGTCACCCTAGACCGTCATGTCAGCACAGAGAACTGTCACATCAGTTTTGTAACTATCAACGATGAAAAAACGTTAATCAAAGAGCCATATTGAATTTATTTTCTGAGTTGGAGGGTCACATTAATTTTTTTTATCAAAAGTATATAGACCTTTTATGTATTTTTACCTATTTTATTAAGTATTGAACTATTGCACATTTTATAAAATTATCTAAATATTGCATCAACCATTAGGGATGATAAGATGAAGAATAACTTAGAAAACACAAAAGAGAAACAAATAATTGGGGAATCAAAGGTGACACTTAGTCAATGTGATGGAGAAAGGTAACCTATTATGTTTAATGTACAATGATTCTCTATTTACAAGATATGGGACCATCACATCTCAAATTTTCCATGATGCTGCAGCCATTTATTACCATTTCATTTCAAAAGAAATACTGTCAAATAAACTAAAAGGCTGCCATGTTTTCTTCATTTAATTTGCTTGCTTTTACACATATCGAATATTTACAACTCTTAAAAAGATTTTGATTCCCTTTCTTTTATATATATATATATGGTCGTATGGGGCACGTAAAGTGAAGAAATCTTTGAATTACATGCATGTGCAAATATGTAAAAAAAATTATTGATTATACGATATTGTTTTGTTGAGTCGTTGATTATTAAAGGATATAAAATGATTCCTCAATTATAGGTTTTATTTTGTTAGGTCCACTGATTATTAAATGTTACAAAATAATTCGTCGACTATTTATATGTTCCAAATTCGTTCATTTTCATTAAAAAAATTGATGGTCGTCTGAGATGGACGTTAATCTACTAATTGAGATATGATAAAATTATATTTTAAAGTTATCTACTGGCATCGCCGTTGCTTTCAAGCATTGGCTCGACGACATAATATTTTAAGCACAGACTGGATGTCATTATGTAAACAGAGAGTCGATCCACACTCAAACAGTTATGATATCAGATCTTATCATATTCCAATCAACATGTTAACGTCCAGTTTGAAACTTATGAATAGTAAGTTGACCATTTTATAACTTTTAATAGTCCGGAATCAACAAAATAGTATCTTATAGTCAAAAGACCATTTTGTAACTTTTAATAGTAGGAAAATTTAAAAAAAATCGAGGACCATATGTGCACTTTACCCTAAATTATTATATTATGTAAGTACTTTTTGAACTTTTATTGATGATTTAATTTGCACCAGCTACATTTCTAATATAATTTCTAAAAATATTTATATTTTTAGCATAAAATCATATATCCGTCCTTATAAATATAGAGTGTATCCGTGTTTATAATAATTAAGTGCTAAAAGAAAAGGAAAACCTTTTGACTTATTTGCCAATGGTATCTCAATAAACAGTTAGATTTATACAGATTATTATTACTACTACTATTGGTAGTAGATCTTGACGTTTGATTTTAAAATTACTATTAGTTTTATCATAATATTATTAATATATTAAAAAATTAATTTTTTAAAAAATATAATTAATAAATTATAAATAAACATTTTTATAAATTATAAATCGTATCCTATTTAATCTTATTTTTGAAAAATAAAAATAAAGTCTGATTGGGGTCGACATGCAAAACTAAAAATTGCAGTCTTTTCAATTCCAGAATAGTCCTTGTCATCAAGAATCAAACTGTTTCAAGGGATTGGTGATTATGAAAGTTTTCATGTTAGCTTTTAGGGGATATAACCTAACAAGTTTTTTTTAGAAAAAAAAAATAATATTTCCTAATCCAAATTTGATCATATTTGAATTTATAACCTTTAAAATTTATTAATTGAACTAAAAATCCGATATTTTGTAGGAAAATACATTAACGGTGATTTCTTTGATTATCGCACGCCTGGTTTTGATGGGTGAGTCTTCCAACAGAGATTTTCTTAATACACAAGGGCTTGAACTCGAGACATTGTTTATGATAGAAACAATTGGAATTGTCTATGATTGATCTTTCCTACTAACAAGATTTAACACCTTAGAAAGTTTGAATCCCTAAATGATTCTTATCTCTCAAGAGAATTAGTGATTGGCAATTAAACCCTAAATCATAACCCTAAAAATGGAACAAAACAAAGAATACTTCAAGCTTTTGCTAGAAATTCTTTTCTTAATGCCTTTTACCCATAGCGTCTAATGGCACCAATACTTTAATTCCCATCATAAATATTCCCCCATCAATCGTTGAAAAAAATTGCACCACTCACTCACACGCTCACCTACATGATGATGTTGAGTGGTACCAAATCTCCTTTGAGAAAAACCACTTCACTTCTCTCAAAAAACCAGTCCCATCCTTCCATGGATCAACACCATCATCTTCCTCGTCAGCAAAGCACGGGTTTCCTCGGTCGCAGGACGAGCCGGAGATCGCCTCATACGGCGGAGTTATTCCCGACGTCGCCCGAGGTTCCTCCTATGGAGGATGGGATCTTCCATTTGACTCACCCCCAGCACCCGATCATGCAGACCAGCTTGCCGGACCTCTTCACATGCGGCGCATGCAAGGAGTACGGTGCTGGCGAACGGTTCTCATGCACCAAGTGTGACTATCAGCTCCATGATTTTTGTGCTCTGGCTCCTGCAACTCTTAGGAGACATCCCATTCACCCTCTTCACAACATCGTTTTCATCACTAAATCTGGTATTTACTTCCTCTTTGCTTTATCTTTCCATCGTAAAGATGTAATTAAGTAGCATATATTAAGTGTAAACATGAAAGGAAAAAAAAAACAAGGAAACATGACTTTATATGTAATTATAAATACAAATTATCAACACAAAATTAATTTAATATTTTACATTTAGGGTAATTATATCAACATTTTCGATATGTTTTGAATTACTTTTCTTTTCATAATAAATAAATTTTGAATTTTTTATTTAATTATTAGAAAAATACTTTCAAATCAAATCACTAATAGAGTTATATGTAAGATCAGGGTGTCGGTGTACATTTCATTTATTAAAAATATTTTGCAAGTTTTATATGAAAATTATTAAAAAATTAATACCACTTCAAAAATAATTGATACCTTCGATAATTTATTTTAAAATTAACATATTCATTTCTTTGCATAATAAATATCCACAATACTTAGAGAGAGAAAATATTATCCATAATGAGTCTCATTTTCAAAGTTATATATTTTGATATTCTCAAGCTAAGGCAAACTTCCATTAACAAAAAGGGTAAACTACATATTTAATACCTAAACTATCAGTTTTGGCCCATTTTAGTATCTAAACTTTCAATTTTTTCAAAACCATACCCAACATTTAGTTTTCATTTCACTATTAGTAATCTTCAGTTAAAAATTTAACTCGTTTAGTACCTAAACTATCTTCTTTGGTCCGTTTTAGCATCTAAACTTTCAAAAAAAAATTCAAAACTTAACTTTAAAATTTGAACAGGGTACTAAAATGAAACAAAAACTAAAGTTTTTAACAGCGGGGTACTAAAATGAAACAAAACTAACTTTAAGTATAGTTTTTAAAAAATGAAAGTTTAGATATTAAAACAGACTAAATTCTGATAGTTTGGGTACTAAAATCATAATTTACCCTAACAAAAAAGACCTAAACCCACCAAGCTTACAAAGAGTGAGTCAAATGAACTTTACACTTCAGAATAGTTTGGGTACTAAAAACGTAAGATTTTATGTTAAGAGGGAAAAACTTATAAAATTTTAGAGATAAAAATAAATTATCAATAAAAATATAAAAAATAACGAAATTTATATGAGAATTTAAAATTCTCAGGAGTGATTGTGTAACACCCTCAGACCGATGTTGATGACCCTATCCGATCCGATGTGTCACATTAGGGCCACCAAAGCGATCCACAATAAAAATCTAGGAAAAAATATTTTTTTTTGTTAAAACGTGTAAAATCATAAAATAATTTATAAATAAAATACAAGTTCAGAAAATCATTCATATATTACAAACAAAATTAAAATCATATAAATTACAGACTCAATATATAAAAAAATCAAATCTGACCTACATGCCCCCTAATTGCACATTGTATCGTACTCTGTAAGCAAAGCCGAAGGAACTCTCAATACTGAAGTTGTTAGCTGCACTAGATCGATTCTTTTAACCTGAAATGGTGAGTAAAGAGTGAGCTTTGGGAAGCTCAGTAATACAAAACTATCCGATGATGCTGAAGGACATCCAGATAAATGACAAGCATAAAATTTCATTATTGATCGAGGCTTCTACATGTTTTTGTGATGAGACCAGGTTCAGGAGATTGAAAATAGACGTCTAGTGTGTTCCCTCAAAACCAAAATAAAATGTAATCATAGATTAAACAAAACAGTAGTTTATTTCAGTAAACATGTTTTTAAAACCAATGTAGTATCCTCTACCCGAACACCGATATGCAGTTCCCCAAAAGTGCTAGCCTACCTAAGGGAATACCTTGTGGCCTTAGAGCCTACCCAAGGAATACCTTGGGGGTCTCATAACCTACCCAATGGAACATCTCGAGGCCTAAAAGCCTACCCAAGGGTCACCTTAGCTCCTTAAGGATTTACTAGCTTGATCAGAGCTGAACCTCCATACTCCAACCTACCCAAATGGTGTCCCAATAAAATAATTCAAGTAGCAAGTAGTAGTTCCATGATCCATACATCAGACATATTTTATTTTCCAGTAAAACAAGTAACCAGTAAATCAGTGTATCAATCAGTAAAAACAATCGTAAATCAAACATATATCAATTTATAATTTTAATACAAATAAAACATTCATATAGCACATAAGGAACACACTAGAAGATTCAGTTATTTTTTTCAAAGGTACTTGATCGTTATCAAGAAGGGAAAACGTAGAATTTCTGTAGATTGATCGAATTTCATTTATGTGGTCCCTATAAAAAAGATTGTATTACTAATGGATCTAACCAGACATTCATGAATTGATACTTCATGAACATTTAGGACTTTACGTGCATTAGAAAGCTATTCGAAAACCTTATATCAAAATTATTTAAGGTTTAAATATATTTGGAAAAAGTTAGCATTCATATAAATATATCAAGAGGAATTCCATTGCTCGGTCTGATCAGGTCATTTTTAACATTTTAATTCCTGAAGAATTTTTGGTAACTTAATCTAATAATGGTAAATGATGATTTATGATATCCAGGATTTATATTGAATTATCTAAATTTTGAGTCAGATCAGACTAATCAGATCCCCAACAATACAATACATACCAATAATTCAGACCGAGACCCTTCACAATATTCTCTTCTTAATACTAATTGCACTAGCTGAACTGATCACCTTTAGAATCATCATAGATCAGTTCTCAAAGAGACAAATAAGTATTCTGATGGTATTATTTATTTCTGTATTGTATCAATATCAAGAATGCTAGGCATGCCTAGGTCGTGCTCCCACAACCTTTAGGGATGATACAAGATTTACGTTTATTGATATTTCTAAAATTTATCCAAAAATATTCACTTATTCCAAGTCATTAGGATATTTAGGTCACTTCAACACTCGAGGTTACTTCGGTCATCTTAGAGTTCAAGGTATTTCAATTTTTTTAGGGTTTAGGGGTATTTCAATCATTTGAATATTAGAGGTTATTTTAGTTATTTCGCAGCTCAATTATATTTCGGTAATTCTTTTCAATCCAAACATAGGCATTTTTTTATGGTAATTGGTCAAGTATGTCCTTTCTGGGTTATTTTTTCACTTTTAGGAGCAATATTGGTCTTTTTACATTACAAAGGCATTTTTGTAATTTTACTCCATAGAGCTATTTTTGTAATTTCTTAACCAAGTATTCCCGCTATTTAACCTTTAAAGAAATAAATCAGAATTTTGGATCCTGAGGTCAATTTATTTACTAACTAATCACTGAACTTAGAATTGTTTTCGATCGGTCTTCCAATTTCTTTTGTGAGTCGACTGAGTCTTATACAATGTTCTACCTTTATTCCATATTCATTTTGTTTTCAATGATAATTAAATACACCTAATTGACCAATCATTTTCATTCATGCATTTACTAATTATCAATGAGTTCCAAAAAGCATACAAAAGGTATTAGAGAATTACCTCGATTTATGAGACATATTGGTTAACCAATTAAACTTCGTTTGATCACCCTAGAACTTTAAGTCCACGTCCCATAATGTCTCGGATACATGGAAAAACCAATTACATTAGAAACATAACTTAACGTGAAAAATCGTATTGAATTGGGAGATAAAATGCCGAAAAATAGCTTACCAAGTTTGAATTTGGCAAAATGGACTTCATATTCGTACTCCGGACGTCGAAAAACATAAAATATGACTTTTCAAAAATTTTGACTTTTTGGTCAAAGTAAATGGTAAAAGTCAATGGGTTAGATTGGTTCAGGTTGACTCAGGCTGGTTCGGGTTGAATCAGGTCGGTTCGAGTTGATTCAAACCGATTCAAGGAGGTTCCAAGTTAGGAAATGAGCTCCACGCGCACACAGCGGTGCATAGCGGCGTGTGATGGTAATGACGGGGTCAGTTTCGATGATACAATCACTCCAAATGCATTACTACACTACAAACAACCCAAAACAACGTAAACAATGAGCCAAATCCACGTCGAAATAACTGACAAATGATCGAAAGCTTACCCCGGTGACATACGAAGAAACCGACGATGATGGAACGACCCATTAGTTGGGTTTTTCTCGAAAAACACAAGGAGTTCAACGAAATAGGCGATGAGGCGAACAGACAGTCGGTGTGGTCAGAAATCGTCAAAAATCGACAAAAATCGAATGAGAGATTTGGATTTCCGTCAAACCTTCAATGAGCTCTCCACGACGAAAGACGGTGAGGCTCGGTGAGTGGGTCATTGGGTTATAACTGGACAAGGGAGACACTTTCACGGTTAAGGGCAATACCGATCACCGGTGAGTCATGGTCGAGATCGACGATAGGTCCTTTGAGCTTCCCTTTCTTGTTTTGCAAAGAACGACTATTGATCTGGGTGTTTAATGGTCAGGTACAGGGTCACGAGACGGTGGCCATGCAGCTGGAGGTGGCGGTGTACTCCACTGTTGGCCAGAGGTAACTGAACGGTGTTGGTGCTCGTAGGTGAAGAACAAGTTTGGGGGACGATTTTGCAAAGGTTAAAACATTGAGGTGATTTTTCTAGTGGAAAAAATGGGTTTTGGGCATAAAAAAAACTAATCTAAAAACTTAAAAGGTATTTTGAATATTTTTATATCAAACATTGACCTATCCTAATGGTAGAGGCATGCTTATCCATGTGTGTTCAAAATCCAACAACCTTTTTTCATTCATTCATTTCTTAGCCAAATAACAATGGAAAAATCAAGCTTCAAGTCCCTAAATTGTTCAGATGTCTACAAAACAACTCAAGATTTGACAAAACTTTACAATTTGATCCCTCGAATGAAAATTAAAACAATTTAATTTGAGCTCTAATTATTGGGGGTGTGAGAGATTGTTCATCTATACTTACACACATAAGATATACAAGCAATGGGTTTATGAAAGAATATATATATATAAAAGGAAATTAGATTTCAATACACATAAACACAAATATATTTGTATATATAAAAGAATAAATACAAAATTTATGTTAGGTACCACTACTAGGATGAACGTTTAAGAAGTTATATTATAAATTTAAGGAATATAAAATTACAAGAGAAACAAATTAGATCACCAATGAAAAAAAATAAAAAAAATAAAAAAAATAAATTATAAAAGAATTTAAATTTTCAAAAAAAAATATATGACTACTCCCAACATTCTACTCGAATTCATCCCTATATCATACATAAAAATATAGATGCAATGGACGTTTAAAAAAATATATTTAAAAAATAATACAATAGCATACCTAGCTAATAAAGGGAATTAGATTCCAATACATACATATATACAAGGATAGAATCATCATTAAATATCGAAAGATATTAATTTATTTTAATAATTCATGTATTTGTATTAGTATATTTTATATATGATAATATTTAAGATATTATATATATTTTTATAACGTAATAATTTTTGTAATATAAATTTTGACAATTTATTTTCATATTTTAAAGCTTATTTTAATTTATTTTCATGTAACCGCTGTACCGCGTAATAGAATTACATATGACATTTTTGATAAATTTTGAAATAAATAAAACATGTTTTTTTGAATTAAAAGTAAAAGATTAAAATAATATTAATATTATTGATATAATTTTATGATGAAATATTGAAATTTCAGTCAAAGGTGGAATATTGAAATCTCGGTGCGATATCTGTGCCAAGCCCACCAAAGGCTGCGTTTTCAAATGCAATGCCTGCACATTCCAAATGCACCCATGCTGCGCCATGTTGTCAACCCAAATCAACATCTCGGTCCACCCGCACACGCTCCGGCTCTTGCCGGGCCTCTCGCCGAGCTCGGATCCCACCGGCATCGCGTGCGGCGAGTGCAACCGTCGCAGGTCGGGTCGGGTGTACCACTGCACCGTCTGCGATTACCATCTCCACGCGGTGTGTGCCAAGAACATGGTGAATGGACTCGAAGCCAATGGGATCAAAGGGTTGGACAAACCGAGCAGGGTCGCGACCGCCGCGAGGGTCGCTTCGCAAGTGGTGATCGAGTTCATCGGCGGGCTGATCGAAGGGATCGGAGAAGGCGTCGGGCAGGTGATCATTCAATCAGCCACGAGAGGAAGGTGCTGCACTAACAGATCAAACACTGCATGAAAATAAATTAAAAAGAATAATCCTTCATTAATTAAAACTATATGTTAATTAAAACAGTATCTTTGTTTGCTTGTTTAACAGATGATTGGAGCTCTGGGTTTATAGTTTGAAGATGGGAGGTGTTGCAGCTATTCATATATGACTTGATTGTCTCAAGAATTGTTATAATATTTGAAGTATGGTTTTTGGTAAATTATTTTGTATATTCAATATAATTAAGTAATGTTATTAATTATTCTGAATTTATGTGCTGTTTTTTTTTCATTATTTTATTATCATTAGATAATTTGAAATTACATAATTTATTTCTATAATTTACCTAACGCATGATTAACCAATATGTTCACTTGAAGGTTTATTCATTACATTGGATTCCCTTGCCACTTCCTCAACAAAGTTAACTACTAAAACACTTTAAACTCATATTTTCCTCCTCATTAAATCCATCTAAAGACCTAATTTTTAATGCTCTGATCTCATTCGATGATCGTCTGATGAGACTAATTCCAAAATATGTTGTTATTTGTCTTCTCGAAAGATTTATTCCCGTTGTCCAATTTTCGAACGAATACTAAACCCATCAAATCCGAGAAAGCTTCCAAACTCCTACGAATGATAAATTATACAATCTTGTATTGCTTACTTGGGTGTTAAGAATTTTGTTTTGCGTTTTAGATTTTTTTCTATGTATTTTCTATTAAAGATATGTTTTCGCCCCTGAAATTTTATATAAGTTTAAGTTTATCCCAGAATTTTAAAAGTTTATGCTCACCCCTAATATAAAATCATATGTTCCGATTAGTCATTAAGGTCATAATGTCCCTATCAAGAGGGAAAAGTTTATGAAGGAAAGTGTGAGAAAGCTGAAGAATATTGAATGAATATAAAAACTCTCATTCAAAAGTAACTTTTGTCCACATATTTCTTTAAGGAGTTGACCCCAACTAAAAATCTATAATTTAAATTTTGTTCTCTAATTTTATAAACAGAAAGCAACAGCTAACAACTACTTTTCTTTTTTGAATTTTACGAGATGGCATCGTTAGCATGCGGTTTTCATTTTTTTCTCATAATATTTGAAGCATAAGCATTATTGATTATTTAGATATTGTTATTTTATAGTCTCGATTTGCACGAACCAAGCAACCTCGGTAATAAAACTATCATTGTGTTATTCCTTGAAGTCCCGGTTTCAAGCACTATGAATGTCAGGAATGTGAACGTTCAAATTCAAATGATTAGAAATTATCTTTAAATAGATGTTACTTTGTACTTACGACATATTAATAAAAAAAATATAACTTAAACCTATTAAATTTCTAATTTAACTTCTTAAAAGTTTGTACTATTGATGTGGTTTCTTGCGTCCTTACCTAATTATGATTCTAAAATGTCGATTTTTAAGCCTTTGTTAAATAAATGAGGCTTCATTTATTTTAAAATTTGTATCGCCAAATCAATTCTATATATAACAATATTTTATAATTATTTTATATTTAATTAAAGATTAATATTAGATGCACTGGTGGTGTATGATTTTATGTATCATCAATAAACTAGATGATAAAACGCGTCGTACGAACATTAATTTTTTATAACACATCATCATCTGATTAACAAAACATCATTAGTGTATCATATACTAATTCAATAATAAATAAAAAGCAACAATGATAAAATAAGATTCAACATTTAGGGTCGGATTAGGGTTTAGAATTCAAAACTTTAGGGTTTCGGTTAGTATTAAGATATCGGAACATAATATTTAGAGTTTAGGGTTTAAAATTTCATGCTCGAGTTTTAGAATTGAGAATGCTAATGTTAGTTGAGCATAGAGGAAAATGCATCATCCATTGCCATTACATTAAAGATTTAGACCTTTTTAACAAGCAGAAGTAGTAGTTCATCGATACGAGATACTTAAACAAGACAAAGAACTAATGACATTTTTGAAATGCAAGGAAGAAGAAGATCTCCACATCTTGGGAAGCAATGAAGTTCCTAGTACTCGACAATAGCTTCTGAGCAACTTTGGGTTTCATCGGAGCCGGCGGACAAGCCAAAATCTCCGGTATTTTGAACCCTTTCCCCTTTGGAGTACAACATGATCCCTTGTCACTCTGCAAAGAATGAACACCATCGTTAACCGCCGACGATCCCATATTGCTATCTCCTCCGACCTCCTGCCTACGTTGTCGATAACGTCTTCTCGGATTTCTCGTCGTGGTTTGGGTCATTTTCGAGGAACTTAGAATGGGATAGGTATTGCTAACTGGATGAGGCTGGTAATGGTGATGGATTGTGTATGAACAAGGAATGTTGCTAGGGTTTTAAACAATTTTTGTCAAGTAAAATCCAATGAAATCTTACAGCAGCAATTAACTACTACCACTGAGAAGAAATTAAATGTTTATTCCTAACCTCTACCGAATCATGATAAGGATGGAACACGTTTTTGCGGAGATTGATGAATGCATCAATGTCAACATACGGATAAAGCCTGAGGTGCCCGACTTTTGCAAACTTTGTAATAGTTCCATGTTAAGCAGTACGTGAGGTAGATAAGATTGAATAACGGTTGAGATTCATTAATTGATCGAATGATCAATGATGTTCATATTGTCTCATTTTGCATGGGTTCGAATTCCGACATTTGTCTTAAAATATAGGATAAAGTACACACAAATGGTCTCTCGACTATAGGATACTGCTTTTTGAGTCCCTTGATTATTAAAAGTTACAAAATTTTCCCTCAACTGTAGAGAGTTGCTTTATTGAGTTCTTTGATTATTAAAAGTTATAAAACGGTCACTCGACTTACGTTCAAAACTAGTCCTTTTTCGTTAAAAAATTAACTATCATCTGAGTTGTATGTTAACATGTTGACTGAGAAATGACTGTCGTTTGAGATTATGAGATAAAATTTTATCACATCTCAATTTAGTATGTTTTGTTGCCGAGTCGGTGTTGTTTTCTTATTTCTTTCAAAGGTTGTTTAAGGTGTTGGACCATTGTGTATTCACTCCCCATGTCGATTGATGTTCCCGGTTGTTAGCTGGATGTTTCTTGTTGTTGTGCTTGGTGTTGTACTCTTTCCCCATCTAAGTTAGGGTTTTTTTAACGAGGCATGCATCCAATCGTTTTTCAACTTTTAATAAAATCTCTTGCTGATAAAAAAAACTCCCTATAATCGGAAAACTATTTTATAATTTTTAAAAATCGAGGAACTTATTAAAATAATACCTTTTAGCATCAAATTAGGATCAAGCTCCTATCCATTATTTTTTATTTCATCATTATTAAATGTAAACTCAATCATGCACGAGTTGAACGACTTTAATAGATAAAAAATAATTGTTATCTCTAGAAGTTCTAAGTTCGAGCATGATCTTTATATGAGTATTGTGAAAAAGGGCTTAGGCCCTTAGTTAATTGTTGTTTTGGTCCACATCAAATAGTATCAGCTATAAATAAGTCAACTTAAACTTTGGGCAATATCTTCTGCTAGGCCTGTAAACGAACCGAACGCACACGAATGGATGTATGTTCATGTTCGTTCATTTAATAAATAAACGAACATAAACGAACAAAAAATTTTTTGTTCATGTTCGTTCATTAAGGAATATAGCTTGTTCATGCTAGTTCATTTAATAAATAAACGAACACGAACGAACGAACATAAACGAACACAATAAACGAACATAAACGAACAACACAAACACACAAAAAACTTACTCGAACACAACAAACGAATGTAAATAAAAGTAAACAACAAGAATAAAAACTTAAAAGTCATTAATATAACATGCAACTTTAGAGTTAATTTGTTCGAATACGACAAACATATATAAATCATAAATAAGCTATATGAACATAATAAAGTATTAAAGTTAATTTGTTCAACAAAACAATCTTCTTGAAATCCAAACAACTTCAATAATCTTCGTAACATATTCAACTTGCCCTCTGTTCGAATACGACAAACATATATAAATCATAAATAAGCTATATGAACATAATAAAGTATTAAAGTTAATTTGTTCAACAAAACAATCTTCTTGAAATTCAAACAACTTCAATAATCTTCGTAACATATTCAACTTGCCCTCTGTTCGAACATAAATGAACAAAATAACACATATAATCGAACGTTCACGAACGTAAATGAACGAACGAGCCCTTTGTTCATGTTCGTTCATTTAATTAAACGAACGCAAAATCTTGTTCATGTTCGTTCATTTAATAAATAAACGGACATAAATGAACTTCTCACCGCACAGTTCATGAACGGTTCGTTGAAAGTTAAGTTTATTTACAGGTCTATCTTCTGCCATTTTCCCAAGCTTAGCTTGTGAATTTGTTGGGCCCAAAGCAACCAAACCCCAAGCAAGCAATCCATGACCAAATTTAACTCTTGGCATGGTGGGGGACACGTGACATTATGAGTTGAGGGATTCAGACCGAGTAGAAATGTAGAATCTGTCATTTAGTAATCTTATTAATTTTTCTTATTTTAGTAATCTTATTTTGTTATGCTCGGTTTGTATGTGTTGGTTCTTGCAGTTTATGTATGTGTAAAGTCTTTTAGAGTGTCAGTTGAAGGTGTTGCTGTTGCACAAAGGCTGTTGTTTTGTCTAACGTTGACATGTTCTCAGCCTTGTCTTTGGTCTAGGGGCTTCAAAATTTTAAGGGCATCAGTGTTTTGTGTTTTGTTTCATTTGTATCATTTGGAGTTGTATTTTGATCCTAGTCAAGAGTACTATTTTCCTTCACTTAAGTTTAGGGAGGTTTTTAACGATACTATTGACTCAAACTTTTTTATTAATAAATCTATATTTTACCGAGCAAAAAAAAAATGCTCGCAATCATCTTAAATACAAAGCGTTTGAGTTGTGGAAAATCAACTATTAACGTATTACTATATTCTATTAATATAATGATAAAATTAGCTCGAATGTTTATTAAAATAATCATTTTAATTTTTTAGTATTTTGACTCACAAAATTTTATTAGTTAAACTAAATTATACATTCAGTATCTAAACTATCAGTTTTTGTATGTTTATTTACCTAAACTTTCAATTTTTTCAAAATCATGCCTAACATTTAGTTTTTATTTCATTTTAGTACCTCACCGTTAAAAACTTAGCGCGTTTAATACCTAAACTATCAGTTTTAGCCCGTTTTAGTACCTAAACATTTTTTTCAAAACTTAATGTTAAATTTTGAACGGGGTACTAAAATGAAACAAAAACTAAAGTTTTTAACGGCGGGTACTAAATTGAAACAGAAAAACTAACCTTTGGGTATGGTTTTGAAAAAAATGAAAGTTTAGGTTCTAACGTATAATTTACCCAATTTTATTTTAGGACATAATGATCCCTCTATGGATAGAAATCATTAGTTAACAATGATTAATACAATAGTATATGAGTTTATGTATCCTAAAATAAAATATTAAAAGCCAAAATGTTTTGAAAAAAGAAAAATGTCAAAATCATATTCAATTGAATGTTAAGAATCTTTTTGTCATAAAACATTCGGGCCCAAATATTAAAAAAAAATACAAATAAAAATAGCTAATTTTAACATTGACCTATTCTATTATCATATTAATGTTGGTGTTTATCTTCTTACAATAATGTTTATTTATAAATATGCACAGGGCAAGAACCAAGTGGCCTCCGTGGTAAAAGAATTATTGTTATTCCTGAGAACTTCGGTTCGAGCACCATAAATGTTAAGAGTGTGAACGATCAATGTCGAAAGGTTAAGAATTTATCTTTAAATATATAATGTGTTGTATATCCTAAATTAATATATATATATATATATATATATATTTATGTATGTATGCATAGGGATGCAGTCAAAAGTAGTAGTGCATGAAGAGTGGTAGTAACTACCAATTCAGCATGTTAAAATCTTTAGGAATATGAAGACGTTGAGAGAGAGAGAGAGAGAGAGAGAGAGAGAGAGAGAGAGAGAGAGAGAGAGAGAGAGAGAGAGAGAGGTGAATGGTGGGAATCAGGTGGAGAATGGCAGTAAAACATGTGATGGTTGGCTCGTGAATGTCTCCAATGTTTGTGAGGTGGATTTCCTACACGCACTTCTCATTCTCATCTTTCACTTATTTACTACATTACAAATTCCTCATAGAATCCTAGGCACATTACATGAGTCGGTTGAGTTGAATTTTTAGTAAATCTGACTTGATTCGAAAATTATACATCTTTTATATGACTAAAAAATTATACACCTTCCGTTCGATTTGAACTCGACTCATCTTTTTGATATAAAACCTAAATTCAACATGATCCAGCCCAACCCGAATAATGTATTTATAAAAAATATTAATTTTATTCAATAAAAAATAGGGATTTATTAAAAAATATATAGAGAGAGGAGTCTTATTGTAATTATCCCTAAATATAAGGTAAAATTACATTTTTCGGGTCGAATATTTTTCACCCTAAACCCGAACATAACGCGACCTGAACATAATCTCTAAAAAACCTAACTTGAATCGACTAGAATCTAAACTTTTTTTAAAAAAAAAAATCTGACCCGATAAGATTGAACCCGAACCCGTCAGGTTCAAGTCTCGTGCCCATCCCTATCCATCCATAAATAATTTCATAATTGTTATATATAGGAATGGACTCAAGGGGATGATCGGGATAATCACTCTTTTGAAAATTTTAAATTATTATTTATTTTAATTTTTAATATTTTTCATTGAAAATATGTTTTAATCGCTTAAAATTATATAAATTTACATCCTTCTAAAACTAAACTTCAAAAATACTTGAACCTTAAGTTAAATAATTCTAAACTCAACATATTTCAAACTATAAAATGAGTTAATATGGGGTTTCCATTGAGAAATATTGAAAATATTTCTGGCTCCTGCTAACGGTCACAAGAGCTTGAATGAACGTGAAAACATTTAAACCAAACTACACCTTTCTCCCATTGCATACAAATCCCGCGCCATTCACTCCCATGATTCACTCACTCGACTCCACTCTTATCTTCTTCCTTCCGATGGACACCTACAAACGATCGCCTTTGAAGCCATGGAAGAAAGGTCCAACTCGAGGCAAAGGCGGCCCTCAAAACGCTTCCTGCCAGTACCGAGGCGTCCGCCAACGCACCTGGGGAAAATGGGTGGCCGAAATACGAGAGCCCAAGAAACGAACCAGGCTCTGGTTGGGCTCTTTCGCCACTGCCGAGGAAGCCGCCATGGCGTACGACGAGGCCGCGAGGCGACTCTACGGCCCCGAAGCTTACCTTAACCTCCCACACCTTCAACAAGTTCCGGTTAATAACCCTTCCAACAGATTGCACAAGTTCAAGTGGATCCCTTCCAAGAACTTCATCTCAATGTTTCCTTCTTCTTCTCCCGGTTTGCTCAACATCAACGCTCAACCCAGCGTTCATGTTATTCACCAGCGGCTCCAAGAACTCAAGCAAAATGGGATTTCGAGACCTAGCTCATCTTCATCGGAAGATCATCGGATGGAGAAAGGCGTCGAAGTTTCGTCGGAGAAGCCGCAGATCGATCTGCATGAGTTTCTTCAGCAGCTAGGGATAAAGAAGGAAGAAAAGAAATCTGGAGAATCAGCTGATGATAACGACAATGTGGAAAGTTCAACACCAACGGATTCATCAATGAAAGATTACGATGATTTTGCAGCTTTCGCGGAGAATAATTTCAATTGGGACGCCATGATTGACATGCATGGAGGAGTTGAGTCCAGCTTCCAAGTTCATGATGATCACACTTATGAAGAAGAGCTAGCTTTTCCTACTTCTATTTGGAACTTTTAAAATAGTTTTAAATGTTCATCAAATCATTTGTTGACTCGACACATGAGGTTGGAATATAAAGATTTGATCGATGCTAGTTTTAGAAATGTTTTGAGCTGGTTGTATATTGTAATGCTATATATAAAGTTTTGTCTACATTAAATTGTTTTTTGTTAGGTTACTCTAATATTTAGTACATAATAACACTATATGATAGCACGAATTAATTTACCTTAGTGGTTAAAAGAATTGATGTTATTCTTAGAGGTCATTGGTTCAAGCATCAACAACTATAGCAGGGTGATTGAGTGTCAGTTATCAAATGATGAAGAGTATTTAGTACAAATATTACTTAATAATCACCTTAGCTTAATATAAAAAAAGAACAATTTATGATAGCACGAATCAACTTATCTTAGTGGTTAAAAGAATTGGTGTTGTTCTTAGAGGTCATTCGTTCAAGCACCAATAACTGTAGCAGGGTGATTAAGAGTTAATTGTCAAATGGTTAAGAGTATTTAGAACAAATACTACTTTATAATCATCTTACCTTAATATAAAAAAAGGAACACTCTATGATATAAGTCTACCTTTTACATCTCAAATATCTCTTTTTAGTACGAACCAATTTACCTTATTGGTAGTTTTCCCAAGCTCAAACCTACTTCACTGGAGTGGGTTTTTGTGTGTGTGGAAATAATCTAAAACCCAAAATCAATAATTTACCTTATTGGTTAAAGCAATTGTTATTGTTCATAGAAGTCACGGGTTTGAGGACTGGCGAATGCAATGATGATTGAATTTTCATTGTCAAATATTTGAAAGTATTTAAAATATATACTACATATAATCGTCTTAACTTAGTCAAAAAAATAATATATCTTTTTTTAGACTCTAATTTGTGTTAAATTTATAAATAAACTTTTGTAATTTAATTGATTAGAACACGAGTTTAGTAAGAAGATCTTGAATTAACTAACGGGGTTGATTCAAGTGATAAACAACTTGATATTGTTTAAGCAATGTCTCAGGTTCGAGTCCTTGTGTATGCAAATCCCCGCTGTGAAACTCACCCACCAAAATCAGGTTTACGACATGGGTTGGTCTAAATTAGTAAGGGCAAAGCCCCTTAAAACCGGAGGGCAACTAAAAAAAATAAAATCTTGAATTCAACTCTAAGCAAGGGTAAAGCGTTACTATCACATCTTTTTCAAATAAAAATATATACCGTGTAATTTTTTTAAAATTAGTTTAGATAAAGAACTAAATCTTATATTAAATATCTTTCTTAGGCTTTAACTCCCGTTAAATTTAAGAATTAATTCAACTCTTAACATCAACAAATTATTACTTTCTCAACTTAAATGTCTTTCAAATAATAGTGTACCACATAATACATGTAAAGAGCACTCGTTTAGTAAGCGGGAGGTCTTGAGTTCAACTATCAACAAGAGCAAAGTGTTACTCTCTCATTTTAATTATCTTTCAAACAATAGTGTACCACATAATACTTTTAAAGAGCATTTTGAATAAAGAGTTCCAAAGAATAATTTTATTTGAATATATGAACAAATTACATCCTTCCTCATTTTAAATATCTTTTTTTAGACTGCAATTCATAATAAATTTACTAATTAGCTTTTGTAGCTTAGTTGGTTATAGCACCCGTTTAGTAAGCGGGAGATCTTGAGTTCAACTCTCAACAGAGCAAGGTGTTACTCTTTTATCTACCTCGTCTCTCATCTTAGATATATTTCTTGGACACTAACTCATGATAAGTTTATGAATTAGCTCTTGTAGCTCAATTGGTTAGAGTACCTATTTAGTTAGCGAGAGGTCTTGAGTTCAGCTCTCAACAAGAGCAAGGTGTTACTCTTAACAAAATCAAAGTGTTACTCTTTTATCTTAAACATCTTTCAAACAATATACCACACAGTATTTTTAAAGAGTATTTTAGATGAAAATTTTCAAAGAATTAATTTATTTGAATAATCCATGAAATAAATACCTCATCTCTCATCTTAAATATATTTCTTAGACTCTAACACGTGTTAAATTTATGAATTAGCTCTTGTAGCTCAGCTGGCTAGAGCACCTGTTTAGTAAGCGGGAGGTCTTGAGTTCAACTCTCAACAAGAGCAAATTGGTACTTCGTTAACTTAAACATCTTTCAAACGATATACCACACAACAAATTTTAAAAAGTATTTTAGATAAAGAAATTCAAAGAATAAATTTATTTGAATAATCCATGAAATAAATACCTCATCTCTCATCTTAAATATATTTCTTAGACTCTAACACGTGTTAAATTTATGAATTAGCTCTTGTAGCTCAGCTGGCTAGAGCACCTGTTTAGTAAGCGGGAGGTCTTGAGTTCAACTCTCAACAAGAGCAAATCGGTACTTCGTTAACTTAAACATCTTTCAAACGATATACCACACAACAAATTTTAAAAAGTATTTTAGATAAAGAAATTCAAAGAATAAATTTATTTGAATCCATAAAATAGCTACTCCACCTCTCATCTTAAATATATTTTGACAATCTAACTCATGATAAGTTTATGAATTAACTCTTGCAGCTTAGTTGGTTAGAGTACTTGTTTAGTAAGCGGGAGGTCTTGAGTTCAACTCTCAACAAAAGTTAAAAAAAACCCATTATAGTAATCTTGTTTTACAGTTATTTTTTTCATTACTGATATACTAAACAATAATTTTAAAAATGTCATGCCTAAATTCGAATTGAGATTGATTTTTCTATCATTTTGAAAAAATATTTAATAAAATTAATATTTAATATAATTTAATTGATATTATTATTTTTTTTAAAAAAATTATCTTTTAATTTTAAAATTTAAAATCCTTTATCCGTTATCCTTTATCGATCAAATCTTAAAAACTCATTCAAAATTTTGCCTTGCTGATCCCCGCAAACCATGCAAAAAAAAAAACTAAACACGTAAACATTTTTACCGACGAAATCAAAAACCGTCACCCAAAATAGCCACAAATGTCACCAATAAAATCACCCTTCCCATCGCCTTTCTCCTCCGACCTGCAATAGCAAAGCAAATAATAAACAGAACACCAACGAAAATCCGTCACCGATAAAAGGGCAGGTCTAAATTTCCTTTTACGGTGAGTCATGGACATGAAGAAGGTTTCCCGCGCCATCATTGTTGCCGCCGCCGCCTCCATGAGCGCAGTCATGGCCGCCAGCGTTGCCCCATCTCCCGCCCCTTCTGCCGGTGGATTAGATGCAAGCGCCGCTTCCGCCTCGGTCTCGGCACCCGCCCCGGGCCCCGCTGCTAGCGCCGCCGCCGCCACTTTGCCCGTGCTTGGATCCATCGTTGGGGCTTCGATTGTTTCTTTGTTTTCTTATGTTCTGCAGTAAACTACTGATACATGCATGATTAAGGACGAGCGGATGTTGAAGAAGGAGAAAATGGAGCTTTAATTTTTAATATGAACTATCTATTATCACTTGGTGTTCAATTGGAGCATTTCGCTGGTGTTTATAATGTCAACTTTCTAGAATAATTTATGTTTCTGGCTTTTATTTTTGAGCATAACATTATGATTAAAATCAAACATTATATTATACAATCAAATAAAAAATTGAAATATATTTGAACAAACTATAATAGTATAACAGTTTTAAATAAAAGAAACTCAACACTCAAATTACATAAATTCATCTATTGGAACTCATATGCAGTGGCGGAACATTGTGATAGAGTTTGGGATCAATTTATAAATTTAAAAAATTCAAAAGTTTAAATTAATTTTTTTAAAGGTTGAAGGGTTTGGTTTATATTTTTAAAAAAATTAGGGTCTAACTAAAATTTTTAAAAATATGAGAGACTTATTGAGAGTTTTTAAAAAATTATGAGGAGTTTAATCAAGAACATTCAAAAAATTTAAACTAAATTTTTAAAAAAAGATTGAAGGAATCAATTTTTTTTTTGAAAATTTTATGAGTCTATATTATATTTTTTTTAAATGGGGGGATGCCCACCCTCTTGCCTCCCGCTGTTGCTCATACATCTATACTTATAGTTAAAAAAATCCCTAAATATTCAATTTTAATATAATTGTAACGGTAAAATATATAAATGGTTTTTCGATTATAGGATGTTGTGGCAAATTTAGAGACGTTGCATCAAGTTCAGCTTGTTATGGTAGATTTTGATAATGGATATGAATTTGGGGTTGGGCATGTAATTGAAGTATTTTGGAATTTGAGGTTTAGAATGTAATTGAAGTATTTTGGATTTTGGGGTTTAGAATATAATTGATGACTGTGTTGTAAGTTTTAAAAGTTAGGGGACCTAAATGCAAGAGCCTGAAAAGTTCAGATTTATATAATTTACCCTAACAACAATGAAATGGCCGTTACGTTAGGGATCATATTGCAAATGAACCAAATGTTTAGTGATTGTATTGCAAGTTTTAAAAGTTTATGGACCTAAATGCAATAATCTGAAAGGTTCAGTGACCATTTATATACTTTACCCTATTAAAAATTGATGACATAAATTGTAAATATAAAACATTTCAAGGGCAGTGAGTCAAGCACCAATAACTCAGTGGGAAAGCATTCGCTGGCAGCGAAAAAGTTGTAGTCTTTATAAATAAAAGCAAAAAAGAAAAATAGGAAAAAATCGAAATTCAAAAAATAAAAAATAAAAATCATACGATCAAAGATCGTCTTCCTCGTCTAGATTTCTCCGATTATTATACATAACCTCTTCGATAAAGGTATGGGTTTTATTTTTTTTAATTATTATCTTTCTTTGTTTATTTAGATGATGCTGTACTTTAACTTTTTTTGGGGGGGTTGGTTGGTTGATTTTTTGAATAAAGTTTGGTGGAAATCAGATATGAGAAAGGGATGAATTTATTAATATTTTCTTCTTAAATTTTGATTTTTTCCCATTAATTTGTATGAAATAGGAACCTCTAGGTTCGATTTTGTTGGACAAGATCGGCCAAATAAAATTTCAGGTAAGGGGTTTTGTTAATTAATTGTTTCCTCCCTTCGTTTAAAGAAATTTAATTCTCCGATTAGTTTTTTCTCTTCATTTTGTTGATTTAGGTTGCTTTTGTGCTGATTATAATTTGATTTGCGCTTTGGAGTTTTGGGGTCAATTGGATTTTTAGGGTTTTTGTTCTAAATTTGGTTTGCTGTTGATGTTAGCTGTTAATTATGAGCTAGAAGGTACATTGGATTATATGCTAGCTTCTGACGCTAATAATATTCATAAAAATGAAAAAAAAGGGGGGAAATATTTGATACAGAAGATATAGGGAAGAGCCCTAAATTACTTTTTCTGCTTTAAATGAACTAATTTTCATTGTAGTGGAAAATTATTGCCTTTTAACAATGACAAAGATGCTTCTATTCCACGACTCGACGGGAAACTAATAACAAAGCGCTATCCAATCCACTGATTGTTCAGCATGTGAACTGTGTAAAATAGATGCAACGGACGTGATTTTCAGAGTATAGTCTATTGGATTTTTGCCTGGAACGTTTGGTCAATGGGGAACCTGTCTTCCCAATGACACCAGCATGTTACCTTGCTAAACTAGTGCAAGGTTCGTGTATGTTAGACATATCTATGCAATATCGGTGTTGGCCTCCTCTTGATGTTATCTCTTTCTCCTGCTCCCTTGGCACATTGATGTTCATACCTGTTCTTTTAATCAGTTTTTTTCTCTTGTTTGCTTTTATTGTCAGATGACTCGGTATTGCCTCTTTTAAGGCTCGATTGTAAATAAACTACTTATCCTCATCACCTAATGTCTCTACTCCTAGCAATGATATTTATGCTTGATTCTGATATAATGTTGTATCGTGCAAATTGATGATTACATGTTTAGTATATGTGTCCTTTAGGTACCTAAATCGGTCTCCCTGTTTCTGACTGAGGTTTATTCATATCCATCTTGAAGAGTTGAATCACTTCTGGCCATTCATTCATCTCTTTCTTATATTTTGTTTTAGGCTCCTCCTTTTGTTTCAGATTACTCATAGTAAGGTAGCATCCTTGCTGGGGATTGGAGAATATGGAATCTCATGATGAGACAGGGTGCAAAGCCCCTGAAGGCCCCATCCTTTGCATCAACAACTGTGGCTTCTTCGGGAGTGCGGCTACCATGAATATGTGCTCCAAATGTCACAAGGAGATGATCCTGAAGCAGGAACAGGCGCAACTCGCAGCAGCATCCATTGGAAGCATTGTGAACGGCTGCTCAACCGGGAATGGTAAGGAACCAGCTGTGGCTGCTGCTTTAGATGTTCAATCCGGAAATGCTGACTCAAAGATAGTCTCGGCGGAACTAATTGTTGATCCATCCGGAATGACTTCAAGTGGGATGAAGCCGAAAGAGGGTCCTAATAGGTGTACCAAATGCTGCAAACGTGTTGGTTTGACAGGATTTAACTGCAAGTGTGGGAACCTCTTCTGTGCTGCTCACCGCTACTCTGACAAACATGAATGCCCTTTCGATTACAGAGCTGCTGGTCGTGATGCTATTGCAAAAGCCAACCCTGTGGTCCGAGCGGAGAAGCTCGATAAGATCTGAGAGATCCGGATCAAGATAAGTGTGAAGGTTTTAAGTAGGTCGGTTGTTTGTCTCGTCAGTTGTCCCCTTGTTCGATATTACATGTTGGGGTCCATCATACGATGGGACACGATTGAAGTGTAAGTTTGGATTTCCCCAGTTTGTGTAAGTCTTTATTTGTGCTGGTTGGATGGACATCGATACGATCACATTGTAATGCTTCTTTGTGGTATGCATTTCTTTCTAATTTAAGATGCCTACGAGTTCGAAAGCTATGTTCATAATTTGGGCTTCTGTTATTCGGGTTCGGAGGTAAGTTTGAAAGATAACGACTCTATTGAGGCTGATCGGTATAATGCCAGCCAACGTTGAACAACTTTTCTACTTCGATTTTTCCTTCTTGAATTCCTTTTTATCAAACCTAGCCAAAGTCTAAAGTCTTCAAAAATAAAAGGGGTGTTCTAGATTCAAATTCAAGCACAAGTGTTTGCACATCAAATTTATTATCTTTTGGATAGAGATATTAAATCCAAAGCAATCTCTTGAAGAGATCGGGTTTGGGTATTTCAGAAGTTTAGTTGAAAGAAGTTTCTTTCAAGAGGTGGAAGAAGATGAAAGTTGGAGTGTAAAATGTAAAATGCATGATCTTGCGATGAGAAATGTCGTCACATATCGATTGATTTTTCATTAATTCATTTGTTCAAGGGAAAGAAATCGCGGAGTTTGTTACCTTCTCCAAAGAGTAGGTTTAAAAATACGAGTGATACAACTTGGGATTGGATAACTTCAAATAGTAGATGCTTGCGTGTTTTAGAATTGGGTATGTTAAATCTTAATACAGTTCCAGACTCCATTCATAAGCTGAAACATTTGAGGTACCTTGATCTGTCATTCAATTATCTTCTTAAGATCCTTCCAAAGAGTATTTGCAAGATGCAAAATTTGCAAGTGCTGAAACTTGATTATTGTCGCCGACTTGAAGAATTGCCAAAGAAGATTGAAAAATTGGTGAATCTTACCCATCTTCCGTGTGTTGTTTGTTGGGGGTTAACTCATATGCCACGTCGAATAGGGAAGTTGACTTCGCTTCAGACGTTAAGCATGTTTGTTGTGGATAAAGACGGTTCCCATGGTGCTGGTGCTGCAGACCTAGGTGAATTGGGTGGCCTCAACAGCTTAAGGGGAGAGCTAATAATAAGAAATTTGGGATTTGTAAAAAAATGCAAAAGACATGTTTAAAGCTGCCTATTTGAAAGGGAAGCAACACTTGCGAAGTTTGGTTTTTGCATGGAGCGGTGATAATGAAGATGAAGAGAAGTCACTTGAAGACCTCCAGCCCCATCCTAAACTGGTTAGGCAATGCAGCTTGTCCGGAAGCGAAGTTGAAGCCCCATCCTAATCTGAGGTAGCGATGTTAAACTGCAATGTTCAATGCTATTTTTTGGGAATCAGCCAATGTGATCCCAGCAGATCCTGATCCTATCGTATATTCAACGGTTCTCCCAATTCCAGCCGGAGATCTTAGCTTCGGATCAAGTGCTCCGCTAAAAATTTCTGTACATATTATGTCACTGTAGTTTTCTATATGCAAAATATCATATGCAAAGTCATATGGAGGGATGCTTATTTCTGCAGGTTGGAAATCGGTTTAGATGTCTGATTGATAAATTTGGCATTGATAGTAACAAGGCTTTAAAAGAAAACCAGCATTACAGTCGAGATGATTCCGGACAAAATCGAGATGAACGTGAAGTGTTTGTTTTTCTTAATGCCCTGAGTGATATTCTCTGCAACTTTACTCCGGATGAGTTTTGTCCCGATCCTGCACTGGAAGCTGTACTGGAAGCCGTCCCGTTTATATACACCATACTTACAAGCACAATGGTCCAAGTTCATTAAACAGTTCCAAGCACCTTGAAAGAAGGTCCATGTCATCATCTTCAGACAAATTCACTCCATTTTTTGCATTTCCCAGGATTGTGTTTTCAACCGTGGCTGCTCCATTGTCCAAGACATTGCCACTTCCATTGCAGCCTCCATTAGCATCATCCACAATCTCCATCGAGTTCGGGACCCCCTGCAAAATCCCATCTCCATTGTAGCCGTCACTCGATTGACCGGCCGGTACGGATTTTGTCTGAAAAACATTAGGATTTTCTTTCAGGTTCTGGTCTGCAACAACATCCTCAACCTGGTTCAAGTTAAGACAATCTTGTCCTTGGAGACCTAACAGCGTCTGAAAGTCATTGCTCGCCGAAAAACTCGGGTTTTGATGCTGGTTATCCATGGCTTGAATCGCATTAAAATCAAAGTCTAGATTCCCATCAATGTTCATATCAGTTCCAAAGGTGCTAAATCCTTGGACCAGACTAGGATTTGCCTGAAACTCTCGAGGGGACGATAATGGCAACTCTAGTTCATCGTCTTCGAAAGGAACAAATCTGTTTTTCTCACTGAGATTGCTTCTCTGTCTAATGACATCATCGATCGAAGATTGCATCAGTAACTTGGAAACTCCTTTTCCAATTGGTAGCTTTGAACTTTGAAGAATGGTCATCAAATCATACTCATTCATATCAAAGTTTGTAACTGCATTTGCACCTTTCAGCCTTATTGCTGCTACATCATAAGCCCTAGCTGCTTCCTCTTCTGTATCTGATTTTTTGTTTAAATCAAAGCATCATGACAAATCAAAGTACAAAAACCATATAAATCCGAAAAATTCGTATAGAAGAAGAACAAAAATCATAATTAAGCTAAGGTTAATGCTTACCAAATGTTCCAAGGTAGATTCCTTTGATATCTTTTCCTTTTCCAATTCTTGCTTGCCATTTCTTGTAATCCGAATTCCTGTTCCATTATTTTTCATTAGAGTTTATCAAATCCGAATTTCGACATATATATATATATATATATATATATATATATATATATATTACCTGGAGACTCCACGATAGGTTGAAGCACCCTTTGCAAATGCTCTACTCTTTCTGAAATTTTGTGATGTTTGAAGCCATGAAATGAAAACCTTTAGCAGTTTGAATTCACAATGGAAAATTGGAATAAATTCTTCAAGTAATTATAAACTTGCCTTCTGATGGTCCGAAAATACTCATTTTTCGAATAATACTTCATCTCTTCCAATTCTTTTTCGTAGTTGTTCATCTGCAGACATACATGAACAACATTTAGCTGCTAATTAAGCTTTCATTGATTAATCAAACGTGTAATACTAGACCTTCTGGACTTAGCTCAATAGCAGTACCAAGAGGACTCGATAACCGTTTTGAAGTTTAGAGATCAATTTAAAATCAGAATGATAATCCGGGGACATCCAATGTATATAACATGTGTGCTGTTAAAGGAAACATTACTGGGAAGTTTAGGGGTGCAGATTCGCCCCATAGTTTCAGAGCAGCTAAATCATAAGCCCTTGCTGCAGATTCTTCATCATCATATCCACCTATCAGACCAAATAAAGTTCCGAAAAATCGTAAGCTCTTTTCCATTTTCGATTCTCTTTATCATCGATATTCATCGTAATTGAAATTACTGCAATGTTGATTAAATCAGTGAAAAAAATGGCAATGAATGACCATTCACTTACCTATATAAACTGCATGAATTGAAGAAAACAACAACAAAAATAAGAACATAAGGGTTAGTTCATGAATGAGCTGATGATAACCAATATTCATAATATTAGAAAAACAGAACAAAAACACAACTATGAAACCTGTCCTTGGCTTTTGTCCTTGGTCGTTATCCCACAAAAACGCCTCATACCGCTCATTGTGTCTGCAACAAGTTCGATTTGTTACACGTTTAAGCATACTCGAAGCCTCGAACCAAAGCCTTCAAATTACTATAATAATAACGATATCAATCGAACTAAAACTCGATACTGAAGCACTCCGAGATCAAAGGATACAATGTATTTGCAAACAAGTGTAGATCGACTTAAAAAAAGATGGGATAGGATGAGACCTGCTTACGCCTCGGTATATAGAGCTTCTTACACCAAAAACCTTTGGCTCTTGCCTCGGTTGACGCCTTCTCTTACTTTTACTCCTATTTTCATTATTTCCACCAATCAAATTTCAAATAGTATAATTTTATTTACCATATTTCATTTTCAATATTCGAATCTTAACATAAGTAGTCGTTTCTTTATATCAAGTACGACCGATTATAATTAAATAAAAGAGTGGATAATGTGATAGAGACTCTAACCTCTCTCCATCACCTTGACGTTGCTTATTTGAAGGCTTCCTTTTGACACATTTGGATTTATCCATGCTTGTGTCACCTTCACCATTTGTCTCCAATGGAAAGAAAGTATCAACCATCTCTTGAGTCACATTATAAGGGGTCTCAATTGGATTCGGAATTGTCGATGTGGGATCCTCGATTCGGTTCATTTGTGCATCATTACTAAGAAAACCAATGCAAATTTCATCACCGTTGATGCTCAAAGCATCTAAGCCACCATTGATGGATGTTGCACTTGGTTCTTCAAGGTGAGGGTCCAATAGAGGTGACAAAGGAAAGGACATTAATGGACTCAAGGGAAAATAAAGGCTTTCATCAAAGTTTGGTGAACTCATGGCTACAAAATATAAAAAATCAACAATAATAAGAGAATTTTTTTAATGTAATAAATATGAATATTATCGTAGGAGGATTTGAGTAAAATTAATGAAACAAGCTTATCAAATACATAGACATATAAAGTGTTCGTATTCAATATAATAAACTGAACACGTGTCATTTCTTTTATAAAAAAACGATAAATCAAATGATAATACGTGACATTCAAATTTTACAAAGACGATCACCTAGAAAAAGACCTAAATCTATTTTAATATAGAAATGAAAGAGATGACTTCACCTCAAATACCTAACCTAAGATTTGTATAATCAAGTTTCTTAATGTATCTTAATATAGAAAAATATCATCACAAATAAGATGGTCTATATACACACCTTAAAAACGAAAAATCAAATGATAGTACGTGGCATTCAAATCTTACGAGATTTAAATTTAAGGATCAAACATTCACGAAAACGACAAATCAAAAGATAATATGTGTCGCTCGAATTTTTATGAAGGTTGTCGTTTAGGGATCGAACATTCTATAAACATGCATGACCAACTCTAACCAAACCAACAGAATTGAAAGCACCTAGTTGATGATTTCCCCTCAAATCGTAACATGTTGGCACAAAAGAAACATGAAAATATCCAAACTGACCTGATTATGTCTGAAAGTGAAGATTAACCTTAAAATCTCCAAAAACTAAGAATTTTTTTCCTGCAGAGTTTTACCAACAGGAGAAATTTTTTTCCCTTTTCAACATTTCAGAGGACACAAGAGGAAAAGAGTGTGTGTATTGAGCACATGAATGTAAATGTTGTTCTGGGGGGGGGGGGGATTCCCCCAGGTTTGTCAACTTACGTTACAGTTTAAGCCTAATCATGAATTACTACGTGTAAAAACTGTACTGTAAGACCTTGCCCAATCGTTTCTACTGTGGAATCTGCTGCATGCTTACATTTGTATGCCATTGACGATATTCCTTCGTCGGGTTATTAGTTTTACATATTTGTCAGTACGTGCTATAAAGTAATTCATTTTTACCGGCGTTTATGAGCGTCGGTAAAAGGGAAAAACCGCCGGTAAAAGCTTTACTGATAGTCAGAACCGTCGGACGAACTGGCTAGGCGGATGCCAGACAAAAAACTTCCCGACGGGTTGACCATTAGTGTCGATAATGGATGAATATTTGTCGACATTTGTGTTTCTCGGTGTTTTTAATCCCATTATAGTTGAATAAATTTTAGATCACTTCAAAGTGTTGGTAAAGATTTGTGTAGTAGGATGTATTTATAAAAAATTATTCAATTAATGATCATAAATTAAATATGAATATAAATTAGAACTAATAATTTATTACTATTGGCAAAATATCTCCAATTTGGGATTAATATTTAACTTAAATCTATCAACCGTGTTGGTTCAAGTGATAATCAATTTGATATCGTTTAAATATATTTTAAGTTCAAATCTTTGTGTATGCAAAAATTCTCCATTGGGAGATTAACCCTACCAAAGCAGGTGTATGATATGGGTCGATCCGAATTACTCGGGACAAAGCCTTGAAAACCGGAAAGGAAACCAAAAAAAAATATTTAACTTGAATATGATGTGTTTTGAGGGATAATTTTATAATATCTTTCTCTAAAAAAATTCAATTAAGTATTTATTTTACCTAATGAAGATGAGAATTATATATATTTGTGTCAAGTCAGATGCCAATTTTTACCCTAAAAATTGGGCTAGATGGAGCTCCTTTAAATACGTCTAGGGCAGATCATTTCACTCGAATCCGACGGATTCTGACCTGACCCAAAATTATTTGGTTGAATCGATATTTTTATTTTAAAAATTCAGGATCGAGTCAGGTCTAGTTTTTTTAGAGTGTGTTTAGATCGGGTTCGAATTTATGGTGAAAAAGCATGAACCAACCCAACATAATATTGTAATACATCTTTCTAAATTTTTTCGAAGGTCCTTATTTTACCCAATAATAAATGAATATATATTAGGTAGTGTGAGTTTTAACCTAAAAAAATTGAGTATGATGCATAAGAAGGATTTCAATTTTTGGGTCGGATTTCGATGGGTCAAAACTCCAATTTGATCCGACCCGTTACCATCCCTAAATCTTATGCCAATCGGCGCCGATGTCTTTCCGGCATCTTTTCTCCAACTTGGGCATTTGAAATATACAAAACTGTTTCAAACTGGTTAGGCTACGCATCTCGTCTGGAAATGATGTTAAATTCGAAAAATCGGAGAGAACAAAGATTCTTAGATCTGTTAGATGTTGAAGCCACTCCGGACGATGCCGACACTTGGGAATGTTTGTGAGATGTAGAAGACGTAAGCTTGTATAATCTTGAAACATTTGGATGCCATCAGTGGATAACTCTAGCTCCTGGCAGTCACTTGTAAGAAGACTTTCAAGGAAGTGAGATGTTGGAACACAGGAAAGAGTGACCTCAATCCCCTGCAATTCTTGATATCTAACGATTTCAATCGAACAAGATGTTGAAGCGAGAGGGGGAGAGACACCATTCGTGGAAGATTTCTGATGATCAGATGATCTAGAGAAGTCAGATCCAGCCGTAGATAGCGTAGTCTCGTAAAACCTTGGAATATTTGGATGCCATCTGCAGAAAACTCCAGCTCCTTGAAGTTCTATATGCTTAACTCTTCCAGGGAAATGAGATGTTGGAATACAGGAAAGAGTGACCTCAATCCACTGCAATTGTTAATAACTCACGATTTCAATCGAACAAGATGTTAAGAATGATGCATATGAAGCTGATATCGTCGTGTCCGGTGGTATTGGTGCATAATAACTTTGTATCGGGCTCGCAAGAACTGAAACCATATATGGTGAATACTTAATCTGCATCGATTCGTTAAAAGTTGATGGTATCTGCTATGGTGGTCTGAGTGGTAGTGATGATGATCAACCAGCACGGTTCGCTCTCCCTGATTAGTTGGGAGATAATGATACTTCATCGGTGGATGTTGTATTAGAACCTGGCTCCCCTGTTTTATTGCGCTCACTCTCTAAGTATTATCCTTATGAGATTGAGCAGGATCAAAATACAGAAACACTTACCGTTACTAAACAGAATTGAAAGTGCATGAAAATGCTCAAGAACACAAACACATTGGTTACGCAGTTCGGTGTGACACCTACGTCTGCGGGGCCTTGCCCAGAGAAAAATTCCAATATTAAGATCATAGTACAAAGAATGATTAAATCCCAACCGATCTCATAATCGTTGCAGCCCTAGTATGAACTATCTCCCTCAACACCTTTCCAAATGAAAGTGTTTCACTCACTATCACCCTGATTAACAATCTGCATATTGCAGACATAATGATGTCCCTGGTCATGAAATGACATATATGCTCTTCTTCCCATGTACGTCCAACATGGACAACTCGAATTCCTTGCTCGGATAACCCCCTCCTTGGGAAATCTCGAAGTCCTCCGTTGAGGAAATGATCAACTCTTTAAGAATGTATGTCTTCCATTGAGCTCATGCTGACAAAAAGGAACATTCATTATTAGATGATAGCAGTTACTTCTGAGATTATTATGAATTCAAAGTGTGAAGCAATTAGATAAAATACCTCCTCTTTTCTGCATATAGATTCCTGAAATACTCGGATGCGCTCCGGTAGCTATTGCACCTGAACCTGAAGATAGAAAACAAGAGATGTAGTCACAGCTTGAAAATAGAAAAAACAATGTGTTGTTGTAAAAGTGGATAGATGAATGATTCAAAGGATAAGAGAGCACCCACACAATTCAGCCAAATGCGTGGAATGTGAGCGACCTGATGCCAATTGGGCAACTGGGAAATGTATATCAGATGTAACTGTTCCACACTGGTTAGGCATTGCAGCTCGTCCGGAAACGATGTTAAATTGGGCAAAAATACGAGTAAAAGCTCTTTCAGATTCGTTACATGTTGCAGCCACTCCGGAAGATGCTGACACTGAATATTTTCCAGGCGTATATGACGTAGGCTCATATAATCTTGGAATATTTGGGTGCCATCTGCAGAAAACTCCAGCTCCGTGCAGTTGATTATTCGAAGCTTTTCGAGGGAAGTGAGATATTGGAAGCCAGGAGAAAGTGACTTCAATCCACTGCAATTCTCGATCTCTAATGTTTTCAGTTGATCCAGATGTTGAAGCCAAAGGGGGAGAGACTCGAGCTGCGGAATATTATCGATCACCAAATGAGAGAGATTCTTAAGGGGTTCCCACTGCATGCCCTCTAAATCAAGCTCCTTGCAATCTTTTATCTTTAAACTTGTGAGACCAGTCATCTGCTGCAGAAACTCTGATAATGACTTGAGCCAACTGCAAGAACCAATACCCCACCTTTTAAGGGAAGTCATATTTTTCAGGCACTCATCTAGCATGTCGCGGTCCAGTTCTTCGATATTCTCCACTTCGAAAGATTTCAATTTGGAGAGGGGAACAGAAGAGGTTGAACTGGTCTTGAACAGAAGAGAAGAAGTTGATGTTGTAGTGGTGCTCATCTGAATGGTATGCTTTAATGGTCTTGAACTGGTATTCATCAAGATTAGCTCATCGTCGACTGATGGATACAGTGGCATTGAACTCAAAGGGCAATTTTTAATGCATAAAGTGGAAAGACAAGGAAATGCCACGGTTGATGCTGTTCTATCCTTGTCGTCATCCTTATCACCATCATCTTCGATCGGGCTCTCCCTCCACCAACTCTTCATATTTGGGCATCCCTTGAGGTGAAGAAGCTTGAGCGACGGGAAGAATGGTTCTGAATCTCCTTGTCCTCCATTGTGGCCATTATCTTCCATGTACTCCAGCTCAATTAACTTGGAAATCTTCAACCGTTGAAGATGAGACAATCGAGCAAAGGAAGGGAGATGCTTGAATTTGCTTGGACCCTTTATTCGAATATCCACCAGATTTGTGAGCAAAGAAAACCAACTTGGGAACTTGGCTTTGCCCCTCCATCCTCTCACATGGAGCTTCGTCAGATTAGGATGGGGCTTGAGGTCTTCAAGTGACTTCTCTTCATCATCATCTTCTTCTTCATTGCCAGCACTATTCATATCACCTCTCCATTCTAAAACCAATGATTGCAGATGTTGCTTCTCTTTCAAATTTGCAGCTTTGAACTTGTCCCCTGCATTTTTCACGAATCCCAAATTTTTTATTATTAGCTCTCCCCTTAGTCTGTTAAGGCCACCCAATTCACTTAGATCTGCAGCAGCAGCTCCATGGGAACCGTCTTTGTCCACAACGAACATGCTTAACGTCTGGAGCGAAGTCAGCTTCCCGATTCCACGAGGCATATGAGTTAACCCCCAACAACCAGCACACGAAAGATGGGTAAGATTCACCAATTTTTCAATCTTCTTTGGCAATTCTTTAAGCTGATAACAATACTCAACTTTCAGCACTTGCAAATTTTGTATCTTGCAAATATTATTGGGGATGAGATGAAGATTGGGATTCCAAGAGAGATCAAGGTACCTCAAATGTTTCAACTTTTTAATGGAGCTTGAGACTCCAAAAATATTTAAATCGCACAACTCCAACACACGCAAGCATCTACAATCCGAAACTATCCAATCCCAGTTTGCATAACTCATGTTATGAACTTTCTTGTTTGCGACAAACAAAGTTCGCAACTTCTTCCCCTTTTGCAGAGGAATTAATGAAAAATCGACAGATAAGTGACGACAATTTTCATCGAGTTCACTTGCACCTGAATTTGAATTTAAAAGGCTGCTTTCTCTACCCGCTACTGATTCGGCTAGATCATGCATGAAATCATGCATTTTACACACTATTCCCCGGAATTCATCTTCTTCTATCTCTTGAAACAAATTTCTTTCGACTAGACCTTTAAAATACCCAAACCCAATCTCTTCAAGTGATTGACTCGAATTCGATTGGTTTACAAAGCCTTGTGCAATCCAAAGCTGAACAAGTGTTTTTACATCGATTTTATGATCTTTTGGGTACAACCTACAATAAGCAAAGCAATGCTTCATATGGGATGGGAGATGATCGTAACTCAACTTAAGTGTAGGCAAGATTTTATCATCTTTTTGGGGTATTCTAGCAAGTTCATTATCCTTAAAAGAAAGCCACTCATGTTCGGTTTCTATATAAGATAAGGTACCAGCTATTGTCCTAATGACTAAAGGAACCCCACGACACATTTCTGAAATCTGCTTTCCTGTCTCCACAAAGGCTGAATTTGTCGAGTCTGCAGGTCTTCGCTCAAACGCTATCTCTTTGAACAAAGACCAAGCATCATCGTCAGACAAGCCTTTCAAAACATAGGGCTGACATAAACTAGTTATCTTTGCTACCGTGTGATAGCGAGTAGTTACTATGATCCTACTTCCTTTAGCCCCACCCATCAGTAAATCCTTTAAGCTATCCCATCGTTCCCTGTCCTCATTCCAAATGTCATCCAGGACAAGCAAATATTTCTTCTTATTAAGCTCATCTCGAAGTTGTTTCTGCAGTTGATCCATTTCGAGATTTTGATCGGGTGAATGGTTAGTCACGGATTTAATAATGTTTTCGACTATCGTTTTCACATCGAAAACATCCGAGACACATACCCACATCATCAAGTCAAAGTGATCTTTGACCACTTCATCATTATAGACCAACTGTGCCAATGCAGTCTTGCCTAACCCTCCGAACCCCACAATTGGAATGATATAAACATTCTCTTCACTGTCAAACTCCAACAAGAGTTTTAGAAGAGCTGCTTTATCATCGTCCCTCCCTATTATTTTATCTTTAGCCACAAAAGAGTGCGCCTCCTGCCTCCTTTTGGCCATGAAAGGTGTTTCCCTAGGATACTCACGTTGTACTAATTTCAACAACTTGGTCTCACTTTGAATGGAACTTAAACTGGCCTTAATGGCCTTAATTTTACTTCCCATTTTGAGACCATAAGCAACCTTGTTTGAGCTCGAGAAGAAAAGGCGTACCTCTTTAGTGAGCTTGCTCCCACTCATCCTATCTTTCCTCAAGGCTTCGGTATGGATATCATCCAAAAGGTCATCCGCGTCATAAAGTGCAACTTTAAGCTTTTCAAGAAAGTGTTTGACAGCATTGTTGCTTTCGGATCGCTCTTCGGCGTTGAGGAGCACGGCTCTGATCGCGGAGACGATGCTTTCGAGGTCGACGAGGTCGTCTTTGAAATTCCACCACAAGCCAAGTTGCTGCACAAGAGGGGAGCTCAGCTTAGTGATGATGTCATAAATAATTGATTCCGCCATAGAAGAAGATGAAATCGTTGCTTCAAACTGAAACTAAAGGCGAAGTTTTTGGAAGCGATTAGAAGAAGATGAAGTGTTTGTGTCCATACGTACATAGAATATTTATATATATATATTCCATTGAAAGACTCATCACCTTCGTGGGGTGCTTCCCGGTTCTCCCACTAGCAATAGTTGCAGCAAAGTAGGCCCTTTGGCCTTAGAAGACGACTTAAAAGCTTTCAATGGTAAGCCATTAGTATTACTTAAGCACATAGAATCGTTATTTTATTTTGGATAACTACACCCACACTCACTAGACTAATAACAAAATTACGCTTTTTGCATTCAACTTTAAAACAATGTGTTTCCGTCATTTAACGAATCGTTTTTTATTATTATTTCAGCCGTTGAACCGTTAATTTTTAACAAAACGATGACATGATCGTTAAATAATTAATTTCTTTTCACAGCAAAAAATTAATATTTTTACTAATAACAGTAAACCATTGAACACAAATGGTCACATGAAAGTACAAAACAGCTTAACACTAAAAAAACAAAGCCAAAAGTTTCTACCCAGATCAGTTAAACAATTGGTATAATAATAAATTTAGTCCTTAATGTTTGTATTCTTTATTTTTATAGAATTTTAGACCTAAAGCATATATAATAAAAAGAAAATAAAAGATAGGAAAACGAAAGGACTAGAACAGTTTTTCAATTCTGGTTGGCTTTGTACTATTTTGTATTCTTTGTGGAATTTTTGGATTTAAAAATAAATAATAAAAAAAGAACAAGTTGTGCAAATTTTCCAATTTTGGTCTGCACATCTAATAAAATATATTTTAAGCATGTTTTTGGCTAGATTATATTTTCATGCAGACATTTGACAAGTTAAAGGGTCGGAATTGGAGGCCAAAGCAGCTGTCTTCATACCGACCAAGTTGCTGTAAATTTCTGTGGGTTAGCTCGTGGCATGTTCTCTTGACATTGTCGAAATTTCTTCGAGTCTGCAATCTAATCTTCCAGGTAATGCACTAATTTTTTTTTAATAAAAGCCGCTAATTTTATTAAAAAAATTAGATATCCCGAATAACAATGGAGATCTACAATCGGATCTTCCACGTAATGCACTAATTTCTTATTTCGTTTTATTAAGGGGTTGTTTGATAAAATAAAATGATTAAGCGCTGAATGATTCAATCGTCTGAATGATTCAAAAGCTCTGTATGAATTGACTCTGAATGTGACATGTTGTTTGATAATGGTTCTGAATGTACAATCTGAATTATGAATATTTTCATTTTTACCTTCATATTGATTTATTATATTATAAGATATGATTATTTAATAAGACAACATGTGAAAAAATGTATTATGGTAAAATATCGGGTGCTTAATGATTCAGAATGAACTTTAATGTTGAATCATTCAACAGTGTTTTGCTATTTTATTCAGCATACTCTTCATTCAGATGTGAGAATCAAACACGTTGGATGGCTTCATTCAGCAGTAAACAAACGGCCCCTAAGTTTTTATGAATTATGATTGCTTAGGGGGAAAGGGCACCTAGAAATTGAAGAAATTAATTTAGTTGTTGTGTTTTTGAAGTTATTTATTGATGAGTTTGTAATGCTTTAGCAAACCACTGATCCTGGTTTCATTTTGTACAGATTTTATGAATTATAATTATCTAAATCTATATCATCATAAGCAAAAAAGAAATATGGATTTGTTATTCATATAAATCTAGATTTTTTTTTTTTGAAAATTGGTAATTTTTTTATTATTGTTATTTAATTTTAGAGAAAAGTAAGAGTTGTGTGATAGATTTGTGGAGTTTAAGATTTTTTTTCGTAAAATGATCAGATTCGCTTTTAGTAAGTAGAAATGAGTAATATTTGGGATCCAATAGTCGTCAATGACGGCAGTGGACAGTGATCGACGATGGTGGTGAAAAGCGACTAGCGGGAGGGGACTTTTATCGAATTCATGGTTATATTAATTTTACATCTAAAGTGTAAGGATTAAATTGAAAACAATAATCAAGTTTCAGCACTTGCAAATTTTGTATCTTGCAAATACTCTTTGGGAGGACCTGAAGTTGGTCATTACAAGACAGATCAAGGTACCTCAAATGTTTCAGCTTATGAATGGAGTCTGAAACTGTATCAAGACAGATCATGGTTGGGACTGTACCTATAGGGTCGTTATCTTTCCAATGTTTAGTTCACGAAAAGTTATTACAAAAAATAATATTTTTAAAAAATAAATTATATTTTACGTTTATTTTTAAAGGTTTCCTCCCGGGGTAATAGTCTTTCTGGGTAAATTATGCACTTAGTATTTACGCTATTAGTTTTGGTCCGTTTTAATACTTAAATTTTTAATATTTATAAAATCATAACTAACATTTAATTTTTGTTTTATTTTAGTACTTGCCGTTAAAAGCACGGTATCTTTTATGGGTAGATTATCATCATTCATCCATTAACTATCTTTTCACTCTTATTTTGATACTAAAGTTTTTTCAATTTAACTACTCAACTTTCAAAGTGCTCCTATTTTAATAGCTATAATTGATTTTATTAGTACGAACCAAGCGACTTTGATGGTAAAGGAATTATTGTTATTCCTTGAGGTCCCTGATTCGAGCACCAGGAATGTCAAGGGTGTTAACGTTCAATGTCAAATGGTTGAGAGTTATCTTTGAACATATATTGTCTTGTACTTGACCCAAATTAATCAAAAAAATAATAATTTATTTTATTAAAAAATTTTGTGACATTACATTTTTTAATTATTATATTAATATAATAATGGTCGTCTTTTTTAAATTTTGGGCAGCTTTTAGTGTCATTATCTTGATAATTTGAATATTAAGATATAATAAATAAAAAGATTAAATCTGGGGTCAAATTGTTTTTAGGTCCCTCATAATCTTGGGCAGCTTTTTAGGTCCTCCTTAATTTAGAAACTAGGCAAATTAAGTTTTGATCTGGTCTGGTATTTGCTCGGTTTAAATACTTCTTAGATCCCTATCAATTCCAAAATTATACAAATTAGACCTTAACCCCTATCAATATCAAGCTAACAAATCAACTTGGGTACCAAGCCAACAAGTGGAACTATCAATGAAAGAAGATGACAGCAAAATATAGAGCAAAAGAAGGCAGATTTTCCATAATAGTTTGAATCATCATAGTTGGTTCTATGATTTTACAATATGAATCAATCAACCTCAGGCCAAGTATTCGATTGAATGACTCCAAGTTAGTATATAATATATATTTAACGACAGCATACCGACGTTTATCGTCTCCGGTCCTGTGATATATCGGAGGTTTGCATCTGACTCGTCTAAACAAACCACATGGAAACCAAAAGATTATGTGGTGAGGCCTCTCCTTTACTCCCTACTAATTTCTAATATTTGATTTAATATAATATATATACAATGGTAGCTATTAGTAGAACGATGTTTTTCGTAAATCTAACCGTTTCGAACTTCTTTAGCACTTCATAGCTCCATTTTCAATTGATTCGACTGCAACGATGCTGCAACAAAATCGTGCTATAAAACTAAGTCCCTTTCACAAGTAATTATAAGAATGATGATAGTTTATGAAGCAAAAGAGTTTGTTTCTTTTCTACCAGAATTTCCCGAGTCGTAGCTTAGAAGCGAGTTCTCGGGAGTGATGTAATTGTTGCAGACTTCCTCTTTCCCCCAAGCAGGCTGTTGCAATGCATCAAAATGCAGTTGCTGTGGATACTGTTGTCTGTTTCCGTTGAGTTGAACCTCGGGCCACATCGTAGGCATGACGATGCCGGAGAAGTTACTGTCCATTAAAGATCCACTCTACACATATTAAAGATGATCAAACATGTCAGTTCAAGTCTTCAAGCAATGAATCCAATAATTATTGTGTTGCCCTCGGAAGAGAAACTCAATGGACAACCACATAATCAATTCAAGAAAATGAAGAGTTAGAGCAACAAGCTTTGCAGAGCCATTTGTCACATGACAAAAGGTGTACGATACTTACGTCTGCTGTGAATACGCTATCGAGGTTGAAATCAATTCCCGGGTTAACTGCAGCAAGTCTCATTGATAAGAACTGAAACCAAAGAAACATGATAACTAGATTCAGACCGAGTGGAGTGGAAGATACTGCGTCGAAACCTAAGAATAAAGCGCAAAATGAAACATGCCAGCCTATTGGGATGTTCACAATGAGAACTGAGATAAAATCAACGATGTGAGGGTTGCAGAAGATGGAAAATCTTCAATAACAAGACCCTTACTACAGAGCAACATCTCACCTCCACTTGACGCTGTAGGGACTGCACATGATTGATGATTTCATCCAACACTAACGCCGTGCCCGAGATCTGCAGCACATGGTATTTCGCAAATCAGGAAAGGTCCTATGTCAATCCAATGATTCTATAAATGAAACTCAAACTACAAGTCAACATCTGATTGTTTGAAAAGTTGAACTTTCCCGACACTCATATAAGTTTAACTTGAATGCATATTCATGGCATGCAGATAGATGAGCTCCAAAGTGATTTTCTCGAAACAGAAACATTAACCTATCCAGAAGCAACAGATTTCCAGTCTCCCAAGGGATTGACTGTGAGTCATTAATGTCAACAATATTCCTTTTAACGGTTAGGCATCGCCATCCTTTCAAATTATGAGGAGATCATGACAGTGGTCCTAGAAAAGAAAGGTTATCTACAGCTCTGGCCATCTAATTTACACTGAATTGTGGTCACATCTTGAAGAAAATGACTCAAACCCCCCTTTCAATTGTCGAAAACGTCTTCTCAACTATTAAGGTACGATCAAGATTAAGTTTCGCACGATTAAACTTATTTCCCATGCACTATCACATCGTGTACTCGTATGGTTAGGCAGCCATTTGGTGTATAAAAGGCATTTTCTTTTGTTATCTTTTATCTTGTTATCCCATAAGAGTATGGATGCCTAACTTGCAAGAGAAGTTGGCAAC